TTAGAAACATGAAAAGATTTGGAAAATATCTGCTGACAATGCGTTGGCGGTGCACATGCTTTGCAAATCCTGCAATCGACTGAAATCTGTACGACAGTTATTGAACAGGATTTCGATTTCGGTGCACGATTTTGATTGGACTATGCATAGACTCTTTAGTCCAGCCAAAATGTAACTCCATAATACTAGCCTAGTTCGGCAAGGGTGGTTACTGGACTTTTAAAGTCAGTTAACTCTCTTGCCTCGGGAAGATGGAGCAACCCATGCTTGACGTAACACATACTAACAGGAAAAGGTGATCTGACTCTCTGACTTGGCTGATGCATGTCACTGTATCCCAATTGCGTTGATCGATGCTCATGATATAGATTTGTCGGATCCAAACTCAATTATTTACAAAATGTTGTCACATAGCTGGAATATTGCTGAGTGCAGCGTTAAACAACAAACAGACATTAATAGAATATCTACAACGATATAATAGCACTGCATTATTTTTTGCAGTGTCATCCGATCTTCTCGCAAAGGGGTTTCATTATTGCAGTAAAAGATCTGATTTCAATGAAATTGTTATCTCGTCATAGAAAGGTGTCTGATTTTTAAAATGTAAATAATAATAATAAATGTATATTTGTAATGCACTATAGTCCATCCATTGAAGCATGCTCAAAGGGCTAACACCATTATCAACCCTGTCAATGGATCAGTGTGCACTCGATTCTCATCTCCCTGGGGAGTATACAACCCATGTTTCCTGGGAGACACTATGAAGTTAACAGCCACATGGCCATCTCATCCTACTGGGTACCCATTAACTGCTAGATGAACAGATGCAGGAGGTTTGAAAGGAACACATAGAAACTTACTTCATCTGTAGGAACTTGGGGTCAATCACATGATGTGCGACTGCATGTATGGTTGTGTGAAGGTTTGAATGAAAGTCTTATATAATCATGATAATGGCCCTATCAAAATGTTTAATACAGAAGAAAGTATACAGTCAAAAGTCAAAGATATTTTTTGCATGTAACTAAGGCCTCCAGCCCATATACAAGAGAGTTACAAATATATAGTTTTACATATTTGGATATATACTCATGTTTTACAATTTGTTTCTGAGGGAAATTGCATTTTTAACATATATAGCCAGTTTTAATATGACAGCATCATTTTTGAAGAAAGAAGAGAAATAAAAGTTGGTACAGGATAATTTGACAGATAGCGTTCAGGTATAAATTTGTTTCTTAGATCACAATAATAAGGACATACAAATGTAAAATGAATTTCATTTTCTATAGCTGAATGACATAATGGGCACAACCTCTTTGACTTTTCAGTGGACATTTTTCTTCCTTCATTTATCATGAGATCTAAAAATGCGAATAAGACTCTTAAAAGTTTTATACAAGTCATACCTTGAACTGTTTTCTAGAGTGGAATGTCATTCCTGGTAAAACACATTTATAGATTGTTCACAAAATTGTTTCAAGAAGAGTTTAACATCACCAACTGTTTGGTTTAACCATACAAAACTGCCATGAGAAAATAAAAGGTTTCTTATAGGTGATGCCCATGTTACTTTGCCCATGTCGTCTAAATGTACAAGCATATTATAAGTTTGGGGATTCGGCATGCATGCATTCCAAGAACATTAAACCGGTATTTCAAGCATCTAGTTTGGGAGTTGATGTATATCGTGTATCTGCCACACTCGCCATAGACCATACAAATGGGTGTTGATAACAGGGTTGGAAATTGACACTAGTCCTATAGTCCTTGCCTAACTTCCCAATAGTTAACATATCATAATGACCAGATGAAATTTGCCATTTTTTAATGTTTTGCTATATGTTGTCATTATCAGGACTAATTGACTAGAACTGTTAGTTTCTATCACTGATTGATATGTGTATCTAGTGGGACTCATGGGATCCTTGAACAGATAGTTACACTGACGACAGTATTCATTCAGCGAGGTATTGATCAAAAGTCACAAACGGCAGTGAGCGTGAGTGCAGGTTTATTGTTGGTATTCATGCAGCTGGTTATAGGATCTATGCCATGGAATTCCGTGACTGTTATTGATTATATATAAGTGAGTTAATTCAGGTGGAAGGTATAAATGCTGTCCTCTCTGTGAACACCTGCTCGCCTCAGGTTCCTGATGCCAGTAATGTATCTACCTTGTATCTACACGACCATCTGTTACTGACATCTGGAGTTTCATTAAGTAAAATAATCAAATAATCAAGCTTCTAAAATAGGTGGGGGGGGGGCATGGGTGGCCCAGTCGTCTAAGGCGCCGCGATTCGCTGTGCAGAGTTGCGTCCCTTGGGCACGCCAGAAACCTATGATTGTGGGTTCGAATCCCGGTTCGCCCCGATTATGTTTCTCGGTTTGTCAGCACCATAACCGTGCTCGTGGGTTTCACCGAAGTGGTAAACGTCTTAAGACCTGCATCACTTCGGGCTTTCCTCCCACATTAAGCTGACACGCCGTGATATAACTGGAATAATGTTAAAAGCGGCGTTAAACCCCAAAAATAGGTTCTATGACACTTTCTTTACATGAGCATTGGGACTACGTCATGGCTGTCGTCATTATCTCAACATGCTAAGTGTCAGTAACAAGCATGAGTATCATGAGTATTGTCATGTCATTGTCTTGTGAAATTTGATTAGCCTAGAATCTAAACCAGCCAGAATAATGACCCTATATGTCACTGTGTGGTCTAATAATGAAAGGAGAGGCTTCCATATATTAGTAAAATGATGATAGTGGGACTATATCCATGATAATCGGGCTTATAGGTAGAACTGTCAAATATTTAAATGTTTGTCATCAAAATGAAAGTTTATTATGTAGGTTCTTTAAAGGCATTTGGCATGTTAAGAAGTTATATGACGAATGACAAAGTCTCATGGATGTCAACTTCTGTATTGCAGAGCTACCCAGTACTCATAAGCAGTATATTTACGTAAAATCCTCCCCAACCCCACCCCCCAAAAAAATATTCAAAACCAAATTACTTTCAATTAACATGCGTACAGAAACGCATGCATTAAATGAAAAACTCAAATGTATAAAAACAGCATGCATAAATACCCAATGAAGCTTTTTCGGGAAGGTGTAAAACGGAGCTAATATTTCCGAAATACAATTACAAGCTAATTTACCTTCCGATTCAAGCCTAGATTTAGAACCTTTTTATACATGATATACATCTAAAAAAAAATTTTGCATCTCAAAATGTTAACTCATTTGGAGAAAAACCCAACAGTGTGATGAATAGATGTGTGAAAAAATATTGGTCACCCAATGAAAAAATGTAATAACCCAATTAAAGTAGAAAACTTTGAGTAAAAACTCAATTGCTCAAAATGTTACCTGTAGTTCTGGTATTGTGGGTTTGGACACACATTTTGTTCTTACTACTTCATCAGGTGAATACTTTACTGAGCATAGCACAATTGAGTAAATACTCAAAAGTTATTCACATTGGCATGCTTGGCATTGATCATGTTGATAGGTTTCTTTGGGTATTCAGTATATTCTTTGATGCATGTCATAGATCTCAATTGTGTGGATCGATGCTCATGATGACACGCCGTGATATAACCGGAATAATGTTAAAAGCGGCGTTAAACCCAACTCACTCACTCACTCACACTATATTATAGTGTGCTACTGTTTTGTGAAAATCTAAAATAAACATGCTCACTTACTTCTTTCCCTATTTGTAACGTGCACTGACATTCCATTGATGATGTCGTAAAATGCTATATGATGTCCCCCAAAAAGTTGCCACTTGTATTCTTGTTTAACATATTAGCAATATGTGACCTGTCGTAAAATAGGGACTAATTCATATTTTGTATGGTGTATGCCACAGTATGTTCCTGATTTGACTTTAAGTCTTTCATTCTCAGCTTCATTGCTTCTTTCATGTCATATGGGCTGACATAAAATATGTGATTAAAGGACATCTGGTACACGATAGTTCAAGATGCACAGTGAACACAAAACCGTACCAGCTGACAGCCTTATTATATATGTATGTACTTGTTAGATATGGTGATAGTTCAATATTTATTCATTTTACCAGGTTATATGAGGAAAGTACTGTATCCCTGAAGTGAATGCCAATCATATTAGATCAGATCTTTTAATCTGATACGATACCTCTCTACATAATAATCTGAGGATATCTCCGAAGATTCTCTAATCATCCAATGAATGCCAAGGCTTCTAAATTCTTACAAGTGAGCGAAGCATTCAGACTGTTGTATACAAAAACTAAGTTAATCGACCTCTTCTGAATGCCAGAAAATAATGCTGCCCAATAATATTGTTGTGGATAATTTATGATCGTGTAGTTTCTGGCCACCATTGAATCTACATAAGTAAAGGGTGTACTATTATATCGCTGCGGATATTTTAGACATCCTGTAGTTTCCTACCACCATTGCGGGGCGGTCGGGTAGCCTAGTGGTTAAAGCGTTAGCTCGTCACGCTGAAGACCCGGGTTCGATTCCCGACATGGGTACAATGTGTGAAGCCCATTTCTGGTGTCCCCCGCCGTGATATTGCTGGAATATTGCTAAAAGCGGCGTAAAACCATACTCACTCACTCACTCACTACCACCATTGCATCTACATTAATACATTGTGTTCTATCCAGTGTATATGTGGTCTGTGGTTGTTGTGTTTTGTTAAAATCAAACTTGCAGAATTGAGGTCGTAAGGAAATGGAATGATATCATGGATGACAGAGACATGAAACCCATTTTTCTGTACCTCTTCAGTGGTCATAATTAGGTGCAGTCCTGTCTCCTTTTGGTCTTCTGCCATAGCTTAGAATCTACAGACTTCCTGAGTCCTTAACTTTTTGCATTATTCTTGACAAGGACCCCTTGACTTTCAACTTAAAACACTGCACATGTACTTGTGCACTGCTACAGAGTTGATACATGTCATCATGCTCATGTTCTGTGTGACAGAGCCCCCGCCGACCTATGAGTCCCTGTATGGAAGAGTGAAAGCTGCCAAGACACAGTCTAGTGGAGTTCCCGACTTCCTCAAGAGATTCGCCCTCCTCCTGGCAGGCACAAGTAAGTCACATGGCCAGAGTGTATTATCAACATATTACTCTGGGTAGCAATAGATCTGCTCCAGCCTATGCTTGTTGTAGGAGACGACTTCATGAATCCAGTGGACATGCTGGATATCCTCCACTTACCATGCTTACAGGATGTCGACCACAGCATTAAGCAACTAAATATTCCTAGTCCTTCATGATTCTTTACTGTATACATTATAGCAGAGCTCAATTTAAAGAACTTGATTTAACCTGCACTAGGTGCATGTTGACGTGAAAACCTAGTTGCACCAGGTGCATGTTGACATGAAAATTTAGTTGCACCAGGTGCATGTTGACGTGAAAACCTAGTTGCACCAGGTGCATATTGACATGAAAACCTAGTTGCACCAGACAAAACCAGGTTGCACCCAGGTCCCATAAATTTATCAAAGTTGAAACTTTGATGCATAACTAGTCTAAATAAATAAAATCTCAGGTCTCTGATGTCTTTGTCATGAATTACAAACAACACAGGGATTAGTGATGTAGTGTGGTAAATAAAGCTTTGAGGTATAGAGTGTATTCAGAGATTGGTCAAGTAAGGGTTAGTCTGACAAAAGTGTGAATTTTATTTACATGCACTTGGTGCATGTAGACATACATAGTAGGCTGCATTTTTAAAAATAGGTTGCACTGGTGCATGTTTTTAATAACTCAATCGAGCCCTGTTAAAGTATGATAGTAATTAAGCATCGTTGATAGCTTACAGCTCATGCAGTTACTTCCTGTGTCTTTATTGTTTCAGTTGGTTGCACCATTCTGATTGGGCTTTTCATGGCCATCCCTGTTGCTATGATTGTAATGGGTAAGTTATCCTTGCGTTTTGTATTATACAATATTCCCCATAGGCAAGTTATAGGGGGCCTGATATTTCTAGTGGTTAAAGCGTTCGCTCATGACACGCCCAAGACCCGTGTTCGATTCCACACGTAGGTGCAAAGTGTGAAGCCCATTTCTGGTGTCCTCCGCCGTGATATTGCCGGAATATTGCTAAAAGCGGCGTAAAACATCTCACTCACTCACTCACTCACTCACTCACTCACTCACTCACTCACACTCGTGCTCATGGTAATAACTTACTGATATTTCATGTTGCCCAGGTACCAAGTTTCAGGTACTCAACACTCACTCACTCACACAATCAACACTCACTCACTTAACACTCACACACTCACTCACTCACTCACTCACTCACTCACTCACTCACTTAAAACTCACACACACACTCATTCACTCACTCACTCGTGCTCATGGTAATAACTTACTGATATTTCATGTTGCCCAGGTACCAAGTTTCAGGTACTCAACACTCACTCACTCACACAATCAACACTCACTCACTTAACACTCACACACTCACTCACTCACTCACTCACTCACTCACTCACTCACTCACTCACTTAAAACTCACACACTCATTCACTCACTCACTCGTGCTCATGGTAATAACTTACTTATATTTCATGTTGCCCAGGTACCAAGTTTCAGGTACACAACACTCACTCACTCACACAATCAACACTCACTCACTTAACACTCACTCACTCACTCACTCACTCACTCACTCACTCACTCACTCGTGCTCATGGTAATAACTTACTTATATTTCATGTTGCCCAGGTACCAAGTTTCAGGTACTCAACACTCACTCACTCACACAATCAACACTCACTCACTTAACACTCACACACTCACTCACTCACTCACTCACTCACTCACTCACTCGTGCTCATGGTAATAACTTACTTATATTTCATGTTGCCCAGGTACCAAGTTTCAGGTACTCAACACTCACTCACTCACACAATCAACACTCACTCACTTAACACTCACACACTCACTCACTCACTCACTCACTCACTCACTCACTCACTCGTGCTCATGGTAATAACTTACTGATATTTCATGTTGCCCAGGTACCAAGTTTCAGGTACTCAACACTCACTCACTCACACAATCAACACTCACTCACTTAACACTCACACACTCACTCACTCACTCACTCACTCACTCACTCACTCGTGCTCATGGTAATAACTTATATTTCATGTTGCCCAGGTACCAAGTTTCAGGTACTCAACACTCACTCACTCACACAATCAACACTCACTCACTTAACACTCACACACTCACTCACTCACTCACTCACTCACACACTCACTCACTCACTCACTCACACACTCATTCACTCACTCACTCGTGCTCATGGTAATAACTTACTTATATTTCATGTTGCCCAGGTACCAAGTTTCAGGTACTCAACACTCACTCACTCACACAATCAACACTCACTCACTTAACACTCACACACTCACTCACTCACTCACTCACTCACTCACTCACTCACTCACTCACTCGTGCTCATGGTAATAACTTACTTATATTTCATGTTGCCCAGGTACCAAGTTTCAGGTACTCAACACTCACTCACTCACACGATCAACACTCACTCACTTAACACTCACTCACTCACTCACTCACTCACTCACTCACTCACTCACTCACTCACTCACTCACTCACTCACTCACTCACTCACTCACTCGTGCTCATGGTAATAACTTACTTATATTTCATGTTGCCCAGGTACCAAGTTTCAGGTACTCAACACTCACTCACTCACACAATCAACACTCACTCACTTAACACTCACACACTCACTCACTCACTCACTCACTCACTCACTCACTCGTGCTCATGGTAATAACTTACTTATATTTCATGTTGCCCAGGTACCAAGTTTCAGGTACTCAACACTCACTCACTCACACAATCAACACTCACTCACTTAACACTCACTCACTCACTCACTCACTCACTCACTCACTCACTCACTCACTCACTCACTCACTCACTCACTCACTCACTCACTCACTCACTCGTGCTCATGGTAATAACTTACTTATATTTCATGTTGCCCAGGTACCAAGTTTCAGGTACTCAACACTCACTCACTCACACAATCAACACTCACTCACTTAACACTCACACACTCACTCACTCACTCACTCACTCACTCACTCACTCACTCACTCACTCGTGCTCATGGTAATAACTTACTTATATTTCATGTTGCCCAGGTACCAAGTTTCAGGTACTCAACACTCACTCACTCACACAATCAACACTCACTCACTTAACACTCACTCACTCACTCACTCACTCACTCACTCACTCACTCACTCACTCGTGCTCATGGTAATAACTTACTTATATTTCATGTTGCCCAGGTACCAAGTTTCAGGTACTCAACACTCACTCACTCACACAATCAACACTCACTCACTTAACACTCACACACTCACTCACTCACTCACTCACTCACTCACTCGTGCTCATGGTAATAACTTACTTATATTTCATGTTGCCCAGGTACCAAGTTTCAGGTACTCAACACTCACTCACTCACACAATCAACACTCACTCACTTAACACTCACTCACTCACTCACTCACTCACTCACTCACTCACTCACTCACTCGTGCTCATGGTAATAACTTACTTATATTTCATGTTGCCCAGGTACCAAGTTTCAGGTACTCAACACTCACTCACTCACACGATCAACACTCACTCGCTTAACACTCACTCACTCACTCACTCACTCACTCACTCACTCACTCACTCACTCACTCACTCACTCACTCACTCACTCACTCACTCACTCACTCACTCACTCACTCGTGCTCATGGTAATAACTTACTTATATTTCATGTTGCCCAGGTACCAAGTTTCAGGTACTCAACACTCACTCACTCACACAATCAACACTCACTCACTTAACACTCACTCACTCACTCACTCACTCACTCACTCACTCACTCACTCACTCACTCACTCACTCACTCACTCACTCACTCACTCACTCACTCACTCGTGCTCATGATAATAACTTACTTATATTTCATGTTGCCCAGGTACCAAGTTTCAGGTACTCAACACTCACTCACTCACACAATCAACACTCACTCACTTAACACTCACTCACTCACTCACTCACTCACTCACTCACTCGTGCTCATGGTAATAACTTACTTATATTTCATGTTGCCCAGGTACCAAGTTTCAGGTACTCAACACTCACTCACTCACACAATCAACACTCACTCACTTAACACTCACACACTCACTCACTCACTCACTCACTCACTCACTCACTCACTCACTCACTCGTGCTCATGGTAATAACTTACTTATATTTCATGTTGCCCAGGTACCAAGTTTCAGGTACTCAACACTCACTCACTCACACAATCAACACTCACTCACTTAACACTCACTCACTCACTCACTCACTCACTCACTCACTCACTCACTCACTCACTCACTCACTCGTGCTCATGGTAATAACTTACTTATATTTCATGTTGCCCAGGTACCAAGTTTCAGGTACTCAACACTCACTCACTCACACAATCAACACTCACTCACTTAACACTCACTCACTCACTCACTCACTCACTCACTCACTCACTCACTCACTCACTCACTCACTCGTGCTCATGGTAATAACTTACTTATATTTCATGTTGCCCAGGTACCAAGTTTCAGGTACTCAACACTCACTCACTCACACAATCAACACTCACTCACTTAACACTCACTCACTCACTCACTCACTCACTCACTCACTCACTCACTCACTCACTCGTGCTCATGGTAATAACTTACTTATATTTCATGTTGCCCAGGTACCAAGTTTCAGGTACTCAACACTCACTCACTCACACAATCAACACTCACTCACTTAACACTCACTCACTCACTCACTCACTCACTCACTCACTCACTTGTGCTCATGGTAATAACTTACTTATATTTCATGTTGCCCAGGTACCAAGTTTCTGTGAGGTGCCAAGTTAATTATCTACATGACATTGTGTTCATGTGTATCTAAACTTCTTTATTTCCCATCGTGTTAGAAATAACCAAGTTCTTTTAATTCCTAGACACTGGTGCAAATATCACTTCACACACACCAGTGTGTGGTTTATGGCATCTGGATGCCATTGTTGATGTCATTTGAATCTTATTGTGACGTAAATTTTGTCACACTAGAAACGATGTCATAGCTGATGATTGTTGACGTCATTTAACGAATGTGTGTTTTAAGATAGTGGTCATGATAAGTGCATTTTGTTACAGGGGAGCTCAAAAGGATTAAGAAATAAAGGGCAATAAAGAACTTATTACACTCGCAAGTGAATCTAACTGACTTTATGAAACTTGTATACATGGAGTAACAATTCATGTATTACCCTCGCTCTCGCTCGGGAAATACAATAATTCTGATACTCGTTTTGTAAAATCAGTATGACACACACGCTCGTATAATAATCTATATGTATTTTCCAGGTTCAATCCATCTGGATAACTGCCCTGCCGAGCGCTACATTCCAATATATCTGCTTGTTGCTGGTAGTGTGTGGTCATTACAAAGTTTAATGAGTTTAGTGAAGCGATGTTGTTGCCAGAAATCGGAGGAGACAGAAGGAGAAGAGGGAAAGAAGAAAACAAACCCATGTGAGGCCATCCTCAACACGTTCATGTTTGCCTGGTTCATCGCAGGTGAGATACCTCCATCGACAAGTCAAGTGGGTTGTTTGGTAGAACTGTGTACCCACTCTGCTTTACTTTTCTTTGTCTCTTACAAAGTTATTCACAATAATATACTTTTAAACTTTTGATAACAACATTTCTGTTATTTCTTTATCAATACAGAAATGTCCCTATCAAATGTGGAGTTGTGGAATTCATTTTTGTAAGATTCAAATTTTGTCTTTTTGATTTTAATGTTTCCCATTAAGTCATTGTGCAGTTGTTGGAAATGGTCAATGTTTTTGCTAGGATGTTGATGTTTTTTTAGGAACTACCATCTGTAAGGTTTTGTTTCCAGAGCAAAGATAGGTCAATATTTCTTGACCAAACATTGCACAGATGTTAGTTAACCTAGCCGTGTACTGTTGCCTTTTGCCTTTTTGAATTTTATTTTATGGTTTCCATGACAACAAATTCAAATGAGGGTTGGGTTTGTTTCTGGAGCATATGCTCAACATGGTCAAGGGCACAATATGCTCAATATTTCTTGGTCAAATTTTCAGATATCAGTCAAGCCCTAACTGGTGTCACTTGCTATTTAGGAATATTGTAGTCCATTTCCAGAGCATAACTCATGAATCTTTTGTATTTCCTCATTTATCAATCAAGTGGTGAACTGCTGACTTATGGTTTTGGAATTTTTTCTTTTTTGTTCTTTCTAATAAAATTACAGTATTATTGTTGATGGATTAGAAAAATCAAATGATAACTTCATTAACCTTTTTTTTTACAGGTAATGTGTGGGTATACAGAACCCATGGCCACTTCAGCTCAGATCCGACGTCGCAGGACTACTGTGACCACACACTGTACTGGTTTGCATTCTGGCTGATCACAGCCACCTACATCATGTTCGGCAGCTTGTGCTGCTGCATGACCCTCAGTGGCTGCATCGCCATGTGTGTCGACAGCAAGTAGACCGCAAGGAGACAGCATCCTCCCATCCTGAAGTCAGTGCTGTTGGTGCATGGAAACATTACCTCCGTGCCTGTCCAAGACTGGCAGATATCAGTGGGACTCTTGACAAAGTGTTTTTTTAGTGGATGAATTTCAGACCTGTTTGAAACTCTGGAATGGTTCTGCTGACTTTATATGCCATGATATACTAACAACTAACCATTGGCATGATCAGTGGTGAATTATAATCCTCAGCAGCCTAAATATGACTGTAATCCAGCCATATCACTTCAACAATTCTTGTCTTGCAGATCATCTTTATTACCTACAGTGTATTTAACATGAGACAAACAGCTGAGAGAGATACAATGTTCAAATTGAGTATGAAAGTCAAGGGGTCGTTGTCCCAGCCCTGATATTTAAACGGACATTAGAATGTGCTTGGGAACTCCAGGATAGTTCTTGTCATCTTGCCTTTCGGGTGGATTGTGTTGAGCTCAAAGGCCCATTTAATCACATCAGTATATGTGGAGTTATATATATATCAGTCTAAAGAGAGCAATCAAGCCCGAAACTAGTTACTGTTACCTCAGAGAATATTCTTAGGTGTTAGCCCAACACACATCAGCTCATTTTCACCTAATATTTACAGTTACAACTGTAGTGTTTATATCCCCAGGTTCAACTATCACAGAAAACCCCAAGGACCCCAGACCCCTTTATTCAAACACTGGAAATAGAGTTTGCTCTCTTCCTTTTCTTCATCTTCATCTTACACAGAATGTGCGAGGCACTGCTCAACTCACTTACCCAAAGCAATCTACCCAATATTTAAAGTATTGTTTTGATGAGTAGTTATATCTTATTTAATGTAGTGTATTGTGTTATCATGAGTTCGGCAAGTTTTGATAAAAACACTTTTTTCCCAGAATTTACAAATTAAATCTGCTGACATCTATTAATATATTCCATGAATATGTATGATAAGTAATCTTTAATGATTGACCATGACATCAGGTTTTGATATAACAGACTTCAAGGGACAATAACTGAGTTTGTGATTATATAGAATTCAATCTTCCTAAGGCAAGGTAGTTGACAGACTGGAACTATTTGTTTTTCTAATCCATCCAAGAAAATAGTCGCCTTAGTGCCCACATGTGTTACGAAACAACTGGTACTTGTATCAACACATTAAATTCACTGTCATTTGTAAGCATGCATATTTACAAATTGCTGATGTGACACTAGTGTCAGATTACTTAGCTGAATATGCCAGCTATATTATACTATACTGTTCTGTAATATGAAAATAATATCATATCAATACTGGTATGAAATGCTGAAAATAAGTGGTTGGATCAGTTTTTACCGGAAAATCTTAACAGCTGCTTAGATTATAACAAATTAATTTGTTCATGAGCACATGGTGTTCCACCTCTTTCATGGAGGCAGCCATTGTGGTTAACTACAAAAAGGCAAACTGGCTACTGGTTAACTGTAAAACTAGGACTGATCCGAGTCTAACAAATTAAAATGAACACAGGTTTCTTCGGCTAATGCTACACAAATCCTGTGATTTAGTTAAATGATAATAAAATATTATATATCATATGTTATTCAATCTAATATGAGGCTTCTTTACAGATGGCATTGTATGGACACAGGTTTTTAGTCAGTTTGCCATGATGTACAGTCAGTGTTTGTGACTGTCTGATGTTAATCAGGGGCGTGGGGTAGCTTAGTGGTTAAAGCTGTTGCCTGTCACTCTGAAGGCCTGGGTTTGATCCCCACAAGGGTACAATGGTTGGAGCCCATTCCTGGTGACCCCGCTGTAAAAGTTTTGGTTTTTTGCTGAAAGCAGCGTAAAACGATACTCACTCAGTCACACTAAATGGTGATCCCTTGTGCCCTGAAGTGATTGGTGCTCTCAGTATGGCTGATCAATGAAGTCTCAGGGTTTTTTGAAGGAACTGTAAATCACTGATGGTGTCAGGTGCTTTGCATTGGATTATGTGGTTAATGTTTCTGTAGAAACAACATCTAATATAATGTTTCAGTTGAGATGATAAATAAATCAAGTCAAGTCTTGTGTCAGTATGTTAAAGAATACTGTAAATGTTGGCCTTCTTATTGTGTGACTGATTCTGATCAACGTTGTTACCATGGCTACTGGCATTAAACTCATTGCAATACAATAGATAAGTTTATTATCAACACCATACAGTCATTGGTGATAACTTTTTTTTCAATAATTTATTTTAGACTCTGATTTTCAAATTGCTTCAGTTTAGGATTGGCAAATCAAGAACTGCAAAAGTAACATGCTTGAAGAAAATATCTTTTCTGGATATTCTGCCTGGATAACTTTATAAAAAATAATAATGTATAATTGTTCATTTTGCCTGAGGTCAGAGTCACTGAACAATAAAAATAACATGCCCCTCAGTTTGTGATTAATATTGGTCTCCAGGCCCTGATTTAACATGTGCCCCATCATTTTCTCTGGTGACAAGCCACTTGACTCCTAGTACTCAGTCAGACTGAATCAGCCATTGTTATTTGTGTATATATTACCATGATTAAGCGCCTACTACATATGCAGTAATGGTAACAGTATGGTTAAGGGAGAAGTCAGAGCAGCTTGAAAATTAACTTTTGACCCATAACGTTTCCAATGTCAGTATGTATCTATTTATGCTATAGTTGTCTCCCTTTAGTAAGTTATACAAACTCCTCACATATATCCCGTTTGCAGAGCTCTCTATACTATCGCTGCCACCAGTCAAAACTCCCCACAGTGATAGATGATCACATCCATGCTTGGAGTTGAACTCACAGCCGAATGACCGTTATGTTTACAAACAACTGACGACTGTCGTGTCGCCGAATACACTTACGCCTGCTAAATTACTTTCTTTCTTTGTCAATTTGAATTTCTATTTCATTACAACTATCATGTAATTGATATAGTAAGAATGTAAGGGAGAAGTTAGTGGATTTTCCATTCGTCTGTAATCTCGAACCAATCTGATTGAAGAAACAAAAAGGTAAATTCATCTGGGAAATATGGTCAGTCGTAAACCTTTTCAAACTTCACTATGATGGCATTCCCAAAGACATAAACAAAAGTGTCAACGTTACTACATTTGGGGTTAGAGGGCAAATTTCAAGTTTTTGTAATTGACGCACCCACACTGGTGGCAGCGATGTTACAGAGAGTGTAACAGAGGTGTCACGCGCTGGGAAGGAGCTTGAGTTATATATTGTGTGGAAATGTTCTTTGATAATGAAATAGGATATTCTGCTTCATATGGAAAGCTGTACACACCATGTTATTTTGTCATGTGCTGTTTATGTATATATATGCAATATAGCTTCAGTGGTGAATGTTGTGAAAGTTCTTGTGTGAGCCTTTATTCACAGTGTGTCTTTTTGTAGATATTTGTGATATTTGAAGTGATGTATGCTCTATTTTACAAAGGGAATGGTTGTTTGCTCATGTTAAGTGCTGGAATATGCTAACAACTGAAGACATTGCCAAGGACAGATTACCAGCTACATCTGTGCCTTTTCACATTACTCCAGGAGAATATTTGGTAAATAATTCTTGATTTTCTATTCTATAGATCACTTTGGATGATGATCATAATGATTACTATGTTATAAAATATACTAAACAAAAGAAAAGTTAGTGTTCATGAATAGTTTTGGGGATATTTTTTGTAGTGATACTGTGCACACAATTTGATAAAAATTATCCCCTAAAATATTCATGATCCGTAACATTTTTTTGTTCATTATCATTAAACTTGTGTTCAACTGGACATCAATATCAGAACCTAGGACTGTAGCAGTTATGAGGGGGATTGTTCTTTGAAAACAGTCCTAGCCAATGATCGTTGTCTACATGCTCACTAAACTTCATGCTATGGTATTTCTTTTTGGTAATGTTTTTGTTGTTGTGTGTTTCCTGACCTGTACATTCCATTTATTTTAAGCATTAACACATCAGTGTGTGCTTGTGTGACCTACGGACATGAGTTCCCTTTAAGCATTAACACATCAGTGTGTGCTTGTGTGACCTACGGACATGAGTTCCCTTTAAGCATTAACACATCAGTGTGTGCTTGTGTGACCTACGGACATGAGTTCCCTTAAGCATTAACACATCAGTGTGTGCTTGTGTGACCTACAGACATGAGTTCCCTTAAGCATGGTAAATGAATCTCAATAAAGTTGTTATGCTCAAGACTTAAAAATATATACTAAACAAAGCTCAATTTTGTATTTTGGTAACAGACCCAAATATTAAAGAGATATGATAAGTTGAAAATTTGTTCGAATACACATCACCAACTATTTTGCCATATCCTGGCCTTGATATGTATTTAACAGCTGCAACATACAATGTGCTGATTAAGCTGTGGTTGTGACACAAAGTTGGGGACCAACCATTTCATACTCAGGCATGGGGAGTTTGGAACTTCTGTGAGAGACAGAATACTACTTCATTACATAAAATGAGTTTTTGTGCAATTTACTCTCCCTGAACATGCTGAATGTCAGTGTTTCAGCATGTTCAGAAAAATATTGCATGTAAAGCCAAAGGCGAAATATTATTGTCTTCCAAGCCATTCTTATTTCTGTTTCTGAAAGAAGAACATTTTTCAGGATGTCCAGCAATATTAGTGTGTGTGTGTGTGTGTGTGTGTGTGTGTGGGTAAACTTCACCCCCACAACACTACATCCCAAACCCCCACCACCCTCAGCCTGAATATGGAATAGTCGGTCCCTTACAGTATATGATGTAACAATGTACATTACATTGTTACATCATTGTCATCAGCTTTGCATAAACTTAGGATAACATGTTCGTATCGACTCCATGTCTTGACGTGCACCAATTTCTGCATTCATTAATGTTCATGCCTATCCTACTATTCAGATAAAAAGTCACTAAGTTCATTTGACTTCAGCACAAGTGTCTGTTGCATGTTGGATGCCTGTGTTTCTTATACCACATCATGACGTTCATTTCACATCACAACATGCACCCAGTATGCACTTGCAGCAAATGATAAGTATTCAAGGACATTTCATTTTTTGGAATTCTCTATAAGGGATAATGAAGTTGAGGATTTCCCAATCTTCACACTTGAATTTACAACAGACATGCCACATTCCAAGGTAGACCAATCAACTTTCTAAAATGATTATGAACAACTTTTAAAGTGGTTGATTCTCATGTTAGCACTGGTCTAGGAATTTACACGTAGTAATCTTAAGATTCAGACCGTTAAGATATTAAGAACTTTTTGTTCTGTCCAGCAGGAGATAGCCAGATGTTTGCAGAAATGTTTTCAATAATGTGATCAGTTATTTCATCAACTATCAACATCTTGTCACATGAATTATCCAACATCTTCAGGACATGATTTCGCCAGTGCAAGAATACCTCATGCATGTTGTAACTATAGTAACTGAGGATCCGGTGGTCACAATGGCTGCAGGGTATAAATAGTGTTTGGATGACGACCACATGGAAAAGCTGCTCTGGTATCTGTGTCCTACTTGATTCTGTGTCACCTTACCTCACTGAGCGCCCAGGGACCTGTCACACAGAGCCATCTTAGCGCTAAGAGGATTGTAACTCCCATATTACAGCAGTCGTATCGCTAAGATTGCTTTGTGGAGCAGGCCCAGTCCTGCTCAAGCTACCTTATGTCAACCCAACTTACTCACTCACTTGTAAGTTTGTCTGTTGCTTTACATGCTATTCATGTTCAAGAAATAATGTCTTGTTTAACAAGTGAAGTCAGAACAGAAACTGATCCTGAAATTGTTTGTGTATATATGTATTTCTGTTTTTTTATGGAATATATTTTGTAAAGCAACTGTGAGTCAAATGTTCCTGTTTTGGTGTTGAAAGATTGTGAAAGAATTCTAAGGTTAATTTACATGCAACTATTTCTAAGTTGTTATGTTATTATAAAGAATTAGCTCAAGTGTCCTCAACAATGTGATTATGCTCCATGGGAATTTGTTTGAAGGTTTTTAGATGTGTCCAAGTGTACATTGACTTGCCTGTATTGTCACTCGATCTGATTCTGTTAATGCAGTGAGATTACCTTTTTTGCAATAATATATTTATATGTAGTTAGATAGAGAAATATGAAATCAATGTATTGATATATTTGTGCATGTAGCTAGTGTATCCAGTATTAATTTTTACAATTCAAGGAAGCAGAGTAACAGGCTGTTGTACAAACTTCATGTAATCTTAACTATTTCAGAGCCTTGTTTATTAGGCACATGGGGAAAAAATAACTGTTTTCATTGGTAAATATTCTAGAAAATAATTAGTTACTCAAACATTGATCAAACTCCTTGATGTTCATTAACTTTCTCACAGAAGTATATTTTCATAAAAATAAGAATAAAGATTTACCAATTCTGAGATTTGATTTTATCTACAGGCAACATGAAGTCAGTTAAAATCATAATGTTTGTGTGCTGAGGATATTACCTGCTTATTACCTTGGTTTGAGCGTTTCAAGGTGATTGTCAAGCAGAGTGGAGAATTCTTTCACCTGATTGGCTGATGATATGCATTGTGTAAGTCTCTACCGGGTATACTATTTTGATGTGAAGCATTGTGTAGGAGTGGTTTTATAATATGATTTGCAACATCCGCACATGTGTTATTGGTGCTTCCTTTCAGGACTGCATTAAGTATTATATTGTATTGTGTTGACCATGTGACAGTCGAACATATGATTTGAAAACTTCAATAAAAAATAATCTTCATTCAAAGCTGCGACTGAAATAAGAAAGTCATTTATTATTGCACGTTATTTAACACCGTTGAGCCAAACCTAAACTGGTTGTATCAGTGATAAGTGATGACAGAGTCAAAAAAGGAAATTAAAGAAGTCATAAGAACGAAGTTATAATAAGTAATACATTGTGAGTAGGATGAAATATGCAACTTATCTGAAGAACGAATCCAAAACATTCAGATTAGGTACTTTGTGTTGAAATGATAACTTTGAAAAAAAGTCAAAATGTATGGGTAACATGCTTTGCTGTTTAGATAATAGGTTGCAAGATCAGTGACAGTCCCTATTGTTTTATGTATGTCAAAACAATTCAGTTCACAAGAAAGTTTCATACTCGTTTTCTCAATAAATATATGTCATAGAAATGAGGGGGGGCACAGGTGGCCCAGTCATCTAAGGCGCCGCGATTCGCTGTGCAGAGTTGTGTCCTTTGGGCACGCCAGAAACCTATGATTGTGGGTTCGAATATCGGTTCGTCCTGACTGTGTTTCTAGGTTTGTCAGCACCATACCTGTGCTTGTGGGTTTCACCGAAGTGGTAAACGTCTGAGACCTGCATCACTTCGGGCTTTCCTCCCACATTAAGCTGACACGCCGCGATATAACTTGAATACTGTTAAAAGCGGCGTTAAACCCAACTCACTCACTCATAGAAATGAATCTTCCAGGTCATTGTGAAATTGGTTTTGTTTGTAGGTAATACCAGTGTTACACAGGTTACACAACTTATTTTTTGCTGTGTGAAGCTTTCCAAGATAGACTTTGTAGACTATTCCTTGCATGTACTATGTGAATAAAATTAGTGTAGTAATGATAAGGCGATACAAAGCCCACGATACAATATATTGAATTACAACCCTGTATCGAGATACATAGAATACATTATATTACAAGTTATGTTCGTGTAAAACACATGAATATTAACAGATTAGTTATTATCAGTTTTTGAACAGTAAATCAGTGATAGGCTTTGGTAATGTCCTCTCAACTTCTTTGTAATAAAAACATTAAAGAGTTGGGCAGTGTTTGTCATGTTATAAGCTTGTGGTTCACCCGCAAAAAGAATAAATATCAATAAAAGTACTGTATTGGGATACAAATCGTGTCACAGTATTGGGATACGTATTGTATTGCCACCCCACCATTTCGTTACACCTCGAGAATAGATCTTCAGAAGGCCAGACCAGTAGCTTTCTACAAAATAAGTAGTTGTTCTATGAAGATACAGGATTAGGGAATAGGGCTGTTTCCAACACTGTACAAGTGTTCATGCACAGATAAATATATGTATGCAGGCGTAAGTATTGGTCACGTGGTGGCACATGGTCCTATGTTCAGGGCACAGGTCACAAATCAGATGAAGTTAAGCAACCTTGGTCGCAGAGAGTAGTTGGATGGGTGACTGTGTTCAGCTAGAGTCCTGCGAGTTTCTGGGGCTTAGGTCCTGCCCAAACTGAAGCACATGTAGCACGTGTGTCCTTAGGGAAGTGACTGTTTCAAATATGCCTTCATTCATTTTGCAGTAAAAACGGGTACCCGGTAGGATGAGATGGGAATGGGACTTAACCTTCTAGCGTATGACAAGGCAGTTTGGGTTGTATACTCCCCAGGGACCTGAGAATGAAAATCGAGTTCACACTGATGGATTGACCGATGTAATAATGTTAGCGCTTTGAGCATGCACTGATTCTATGGACACTAGTGCAATATTAATATACATATTATGTTATATATATTAGAATATTGAATGTACAAGGGTAGATAAATCTAAATAGGAACATACAATGTATTGTCTAGTGGAAAGAAGAATGTCTGGTATGAAACACTATGAATACAATGGCTGGAAATGTTTTAAGCCTTTCATGGTCAGATGGATGGACATGAGCCTTCTTGTACATAGAGAACTTCTGTATAATCCTCTACATGTGTTATAGTGACCGTGTTGTCAACTGTGTATTGTACATAAGATCTGTATGTTTTATTCTGTTGATAGGTATATTCTCTGCAATAATTTGAATAAAATATCTGTTTACATTTAAGTGTTCACATCAGTTGTTGACCATGTGTTTGCCTTCAGTTTGTGTCAGCAGTAATCTTGGTAATTATCTTGTCTTTAGATTCCTTTCAAAATGAACTGCAGTTTTAGGGGTGGTGTGTTGGGGTGGGAAGGTTTTGGAAGTAACATCTGTAAGAAATGATCAATCCTGCGTGTGATATAATACACCCCAGTTTTTTTTTAACCAGTATTACATCAACATTTTCCTGCAGTTGCTAACCCACTCAGAACACACACTGTTGTTGGTGCAAGCTGGTCACAGTTGGTTGCCATGAGGGTGTAACAGTTGGCTGTGTGGAGTTGTGTCCCTTTGGCATGACAAGATAAGTTGGTTCGAATCTTAGATTCGCACTGATTATGAACATTTGATGGTCAGCACATCTGATGGTGGGTTTCACCAAAGTAAACCTCAAATACCATCATCCCTCATGGCTTAACCCTAACAAACGTCAGACAGGCTGAAATAATGTTTAAAGCAGTGTAAAACAGGGGTTCAAATACTCAACTTCCTTCCTAACATAGGAGTGAGTATGGTTTTACGCCGCTTTAAGCAAAATCCCAGCAATATCATGGTGAGGGACACAGAAATGGGCTTCACTCATTGCACCCATGTGGGGAATTAACCTTTGACCACTAGGCAACCCCACTGGCCCCAAACATAGAGTGGTAATGGTGTACCCTAGTGGTTGAAGTATTCACTTGTCAAGAGGAAAGTGGTTCAGTTCCCATGAGTACAAAATGTGAAACTAATTTCTAGTGTCCCCTGCTGTGATATTGCTGGAATATTGCTGAAGGCAGCATTGAAAGCAACTCACTCAGTCAACCTTAACATGGATGAACAAACCTTCTTGGTCACATCCACACTGATGTGCTAGAACTGATGCCACACTTATTCCTACAGGAGAAACCCGTGACTAGCGGGATCGGGTGGTCAGGCTTGATGACTTGGTTGATGCATGTCATTGTATCCCAATTGAGTGGATTGATGCTCATGACATCAATCACTGTATTGTCTAGTCCAGACTCGATTATTAACTGACCACCGTCATATAGCTGGAAAATTGCTGAGTGCAGAGTTAATCAACAAACAAACAAACAAACCCTACAAGAGAATCATTAATAATATTAAATAAGTAGCTCACACATACTGCCATTAGGATTTTAGTTTAGGTGCTGTTGATTTGGGATAGAAGCTGTTGGGCTGGAAGACTGATACAGTGCCCTTTACAGATGTCCGCTCCCTTTACAGATGTCTGTTTCCTTTACAGATATCTGTTCCCTTTACAGATATCTGTTCCCTTTACAGATATCCGTTCTCTTTACAGATGTCCGTTCCCTTTACAGATGTCCGTTCCCTTTACAGATGTCTGTTACCTTTACAGATGTCCGTTCCCTTTACAGATGTCCCTTCCCTTTACAGATGTCTGTTCCCTTTACATAGGTCCCTTCCCTTTACAGATGTCTGTTCCATTTACAGATGTCCGCTCCCTTTACAGATGTCTGTTCCATTTACAGATGTCCGCTCCCTTTACAGATGTCTGTTCCCTTTACAGATGTCCGTTCCCTTTACAGATGTCCGTTCCCTTTACAGATGTCCATTCCCTTTACAGATGTCTGTTCCCTTTACAGATATCTGTTCCCTTTACAGATGTCCGTTCCCTTTACAGATGTCCGTTCCCTTTACAGATGTCCGTTTCCTTTACAGATGTCTGTTCCCTTTACAGATGTCCGTTCCCTTTACAGATGTCTGTTCCCTTTACAGATATCTGTTCCCTTTACAGATATCTGTTCCCTTTACAGATGTCCGTTCCCTTTACAGATGTCCGTTCCCTTTACAGATGTCTGTTCCCTTAACAGATGTCCGCTCCCTTTACAGATGTCTGTTCCCTTTACAGATGTCTGTTCCCTTTACAGATGTCCGTTCCCTTTACAGATGTCTGTTCCCTTTACAGATGTCCCTTCCCTTTACAGATGTCTGTTACCTTAACAGATGTCCATTCCCTTTACAGATGTCTGTTCCCTTTACAGATGTCTGTTCCCTTAACAGATGTCCATTCCCTTTACAGATTCTGTTCCCTTAACAGATGTCCCTTCCCTTTACAGATGTCCCTTCCCTTTACAGATGTCCGTTCCCTTAACAGATGTCCATTCCCTTTACAGATGTCCCTTCCCTTTACAGATGTCCCTTCCCTTTACAGATGTCCGTTCCCTTAACAGATGTCCATTCCCTTTATAGATGTCCCTTCCCTTAACAGATGTCCGTTCCCTTTACAGATGTCTGTTCCCTTTACAGATGTCCCTTCCCTTTACAGATGTCCCTTCCCTTAACAGATGTCCATTCCCTTTACAGATGTCTGTTCCCTTTATAGATGTCCCTTCCCTTTACAGATGTCTGTTCCATTTACAGATGTCCGTTCCCTTTACAGATGTCTGTTCCCTTTACCAATGTTCCTTCCCTTTACATATGTCCGTTCCCTTTACAGATGTCTGTTCCCTTTACAGATGTCCCTTCCCTTTACAGATGTCTGTTCCCTTTACAGATGTCTGTTCCCTTTACAGATGTCCATTCCCTTTACAGATGTCTGTTCCCTTTACAGATGTCCATTCCCTTTACAGATGTCTGTTCCCTTTACAGATGTCTGTTCCCTTTACAGATGTCTGTTCCCTTTACAGATATCTGTTCCCTTTACAGATGTCCGTTCCCTTTACAGATGTCCATACCCTTTACAGATGTCCATTCCCTTTACAGATGTCTGTTCCCTTTACATATGTCCATTCCCTTTACAGATGTCTGTTCCCTTTACCAATGTTCCTTCCCTTTACCCATGTCCCTTCCGATGTAAATATTAAATAACTGTAGGACCATCAGCGAAGATGAACACTCTGGAGAATCCAGATACTTGTGTTCAGGACTTGGGTTTGCTCCCTCTTTCAACAGGATCCGTCTCCGTAATATGTTCCCTGTTGCAAGCAACGTGCAAGTTAAACACAAATGCACACTCACTGATAATCATATTCAGTAGACGTATTTCTATGCAAGAGCGTGCGGATCACTCTAAAGGGAACTTCAACTTTGAACCTAACGAGATTGTTGCCTTTACATTAACAACCTGTGCACTGTGTCGTCCTAAATAGAACATGCAGAATGCATACAAATGTTTGAAGGCTGTGCGAGTCCTGGGCCCACGTAGATTACGTGTAACACTGTCGCTAATTCATAACGAGTTGAGAGGATACACCTCTCTACTGTTGGATAACAGGTTACATCCCACACACCTGAATAGAACTCGCTTGTTTGCGATTGTCAAACCCTGGCGTATTTAATAATGTGCATTCTTGGTCTGAAAATAGGACACGCATAGATTAGTCCCATATCGTAGTACTTGTTTGAAGCTGTGAAATGTGGATGGTATATACATTCCATTTTGTCTGATCATCGTTTGAGGGCTCATTTTACAATGGATGAACACCGCGAACCTGCAGCAGCACCAACCAAGGATGAATGGCCAGAGCTTCTTCATAAGGTGAGAGGAAGCATCATAAGGATACCTTCTTTGGGAGAGTTCACATGCTTTTATGTGATATTAATCTCCAGCATATACATGTACTATAGCTGACTGGCAGTTAGCTACATGCTACAATGGCCTTTATACAAGTCCAGCGGGAAATGTAAGTATCGAGGTCAGGGCACAGTATTGTCACGCGAATAATGTATAGCTGACATTAAAATAACATCTGAAATAATTGAGAATATGGCGTCTCGTGTGCATGCAAGGGGCCATACCGTCTGTCAGTTTGTTTTCACGTTGAAGCCAGTTACCCTCTGATGCAAAACTACAGCACATCAGGATAATTGAGTCCTGTAACAAAGGATCACATCTGAACATCTTAAAAGGACACTATTAACGCTGGGACCAATTGAACCCAGGTAGCTTAAACACCGTTTTGTTACCTCGCGCTTTGGGATGAACGTCAATCATCAGTTACTGATTCCATAAGTCATGGATATTATCTCTCAGTTTCACGCGAAACCTATGGTTGTGGGTTCGAATCCCGGTTCGCCCCGATTATGTTTCTAGGTTTGTCAGCACCATACCCGTGCTTGTGGGTTTCACCGAATTAGTGAACGTCTGAGACCTGCATTACTTCGGGCTTTCCTCCCACATTAAGCTGACACGCAGCGATATGACTGGAATTGTGTTAAAAGTGGCGTTAAAACCCAACTCACTCACTCGGTTTCACGCAGTGGATTAAAAAAACAACGCCCTGGCCTTGGCTGGAAAAGAACTAGTGACCGTGAACCACAGCGCCCACTTTAAGCGAAGGAAGTACATAGATGCATACCTTTTGAAATGAAACCTGAAAGATAAAACCTGTTTACGATTTGTGGAGTGTTTATTGTTTATTTTTAATGTTGGTTATATACTCACGGACAAAAGAAACGCGAATACCATACATGTTGGTTACTATAATCTTTTTTGAAGAATGACTCATGTTCAAGAGATATTTTAGATTGGTTAGATGCACAAACGAACGCGTCCCGCGTGACTATACGCTCGTAGGTGGAATAGTGGTCAATAGGAGGGACAAAGAAGGGACATAATTCGTAATAGCCACTGGTGGCGCTACGATCGAGCCCAGAAAATCCCGGCAAGGGTGGAAACTGGATTTTCATAGTCAGTTAACTCCCTTGCCTCGGGAAGATGATAACCAACGAGCTACACGGAGTCACGGATTGTCTGTATCCTCCGAACCTTGGGTTTTCTTCTTGGCTTCATTCGCTGTGTTTAATGAACAATGTTAGTCTGTGGATATTCTAAGGTAATCTATTTGTTTTTTTAGCTTGGCGTTGATGCAAGGGATGCCATACGACAAGACAACCCCGACCTAGAGGTACACGTATTCTTGTGTGGTTTGCAAACTGAACTCACCCCATTCCTAAAATGCAATGACATCATCTATTCTTCAGATATACATTTGTCACGAATGTCTTACTTTAGATGGACCGCCTACGTTGCCTAGGGGTAGAGCGTCCGCCCGGAGAGCGGAAGGTCTGGGGTTCGATCCCCGGCCGAGTCATGCCAAAATGCGTTAAAATATAGTTCTTGTTGTTACCCTGCCTGGCGCTCGGCAGTTAAAGGATTAAAACAAGAACTGGTCGGCTCAGAGTCAACTCTGTCTGAACTCTGTTAAACTGCGGCATGGTATCTCAGTGGGCTAGCACTATAAATCGGCATCAGTCCGGACTAGTACAAGCGTGCATGTACAAGTGCAATAATCTTGGAAGTAACGTTAAGACCCATTTTACCTTACCTCACCCCCTTACTTTAGCGGGGTGGCGGGGTAGTTAATGGTAAAGCTGTTTGCTAGTTAGGATGAGGGCCCGGGTGTTTGATTCCCTATAAGAATGAAATGTGTGAAGTCTGTTTGTCTGGTGTCACACATCAAATCACTTTCAACCTGCAAATATTTACCTTTTAGAACTCGCTATAAGTACATATGTAGCTTCATCTCAGACTGCATATCTGAAACTGATGGACACATCTTTATGTCGTGTGAGAGTTCACTAACACTGGGTGGTCACAATGTATTACATGGACACCAACCCCTGAAGATCCGGGTAGAATAGGCCTTCAGCAACCCATGCTTGCCGTAATAGGCGACTATGCTTGTCGTAAGAGGCGACTTACGGGATCGGGTGGTCAGACTCTCTGACTTGGTAGATGCATGTCATCTTGTCCCAGTTACGTAGATCGATGCTCATGATATCAATCACTTAATTGTCTGGTCGAGACTCGACTTATTTACAGACGCCTAAATGACGTCATAATGCAAGGAATGTCAACCATTGTATATTTATTATGGAAATAGAACTCTGGATAAATGTGAACAATATGAATCTATTTTATGCAAGAAATCAAAAAGTTAATCCTGTAATTTGTGTTTTTTGGGTATGAAACTACTAGGCCGGTAAATTTGTTTAAGGTTGAAAAAAGTTTTAAAAAATAGTGTCTTTTTTTCCTTTTTGAGGATACTCTATAAAATGTTGACGTCTATGGTTATTAGCCAAAAATGGGATTGCTGGGGTGTGTCTTGATATTATAGTTTTATTGTGTTGTCAGGTATTTGTACTACCGGCGGACTCATTTGTCACGGAGAACTTCTGTCGGAGTAGAGTTAGGATCTTCGTTCAGGTAGATGGGACAGTCGCAAGCATCCCCAGGATTGGCTAAAGCACCTGTACTGACATCATCATAGTGTGAACGCCCTACCTTATGCCGTGACTGGCAGAAACACAACGTAACAACGTCGTCCGATGATTAGAAGACATCATTGTCTCATTGGCTTATGTGAGAAACGATTTAAGCTCAAGTTTGTATTTGTGCGTTACCTGAGTGTATTTGTAAGAAGACGGGAGTTGTTGTTGTTTATATCTTGCAGTCTGGCTTTGTATAATCATGTGGTGTCAAGAGTTAGCATTAGGATCTGTCGTAACGTCACGAAATAGAACAAGGGCTTTTCACTTCATCATGTTTCCTATCGTATGATCCTGTATAAATGCAAAAAATAAATAATAAAACGTCACGACCTTGGCTGTGCGTTAACGGTGCCACATTCATCTGAGATCTACTCCGCTGATCATTGGACCCTGTGCCTCGTTCACAATGTGATCGCAGCACAACCATTGTCGTCAATCCATGCAAAAGTATTGGAGGTACGATCATCTTATTGCTATGATCTCTTTATGGGATCTGATTGGGATCGCTCGTCAGTCGAGGGTCAAGTGGACCAGACAGCATCTTCCCGAGACAAGTGAGTTAACTGGCTGTAAAAGTCCTGTTTCCAAGGCAAGTGAGTTAACTGACTGTAAAAGTCCAGTTTCCACCCTTGCCGAACTAGGTTGGTATTATGGAGTTACATTTTGGCTGGACTAACGAGTCTATGTATAGTCCAATCAAAATCGCGCACCGAAATCGAAATCCGGTTCGTAAAGTGTCATGCAGATTTCGGTCGACTGCAGGATTTGCAAAGCATGTGCACCGCTAGTTCGTTGTCAACAGATATTTTCTAAATCTTTTCATGTTTTTAATCAAGGTGCTCACGTGATTTGATGCACTTGGCGATGTAAGACCCGTTTTATCACAATATAGATCTTGATTATCGATCAGATCGTCTTGACTGGGCGCCACCGTTTTGTTTGAAGCAAATGCAAGTGTTACGAGAGGTGGAATCTGATTGGTCCATAGGAGAGGCATAGAAGGGACATAACTCGTAATAGCCACTGGTGGCGCTACGATCGAGCCCAGGAATTCCGGGTGGGAACTGGACTTTTAAAGTCAGTTAACTCCCTTGCCTGGGGAAGATAACAAGACAGTCGAGAGCCCAGAGGTCCAATCCGCTGTGCAGGTTGTGTTCCTTAGGCGTGCAAGACTCACGTCATAGTGGTTTCCAATCCCAGATTCGTCCTGGTTATAATTCTTGATCTTCAGCATGCCCGTGCTCGAGAAGGGGGTGGGGCTGGGGTGGGTGGAGTGGGGCAACTTTTAAAGACTACGACCTGCACCACGCCCCTCCCACGTCAACCGGACGCGTCGTGATGTAGCTACTTTAAATTCTATAAAGATAATATAATTTGAACGCGTAAACAACTACTTTTACCTTCATTTACCTTCTTTGTGCACGCTCCAGCTATCATATACAATATGTTTCATAAGTTGTAGAACAGCTTCGCAATCAAAAGTTATTACTCTATAAAAATAGTCACTTCAAACGAACGTCACTTGCTTGATAAAGGTGTTAGGATCTACACCGAAACGTCGCACTAATTGTAATAAAAAAGTTGTTCAGCCATAGAACTCGTCTTACTTCATCACACCAACTTCTAAATGCCACTGAAAGAAGTTATGCGCCGTCATATAACTAAAATATTGTTGAGAGCGGCGTTAAACAACAAAGAGAATAATAGTTTTGCTCATATTTGTATTACCTAATATGAGTCTAGGAAATATCATCTTTCCGAGGCAAGAGAGTTAACTGACTATAAAAGTCCAGTTTCCACCCTTGCCGAACTAGGCTGGAATTACTGGGCTCGATCGTAGCGCCACCAGTGGCCTCTCCTATGGACCAATCAGATTCCACCTCTCGTATCACTTGCGTTTGCTTCACACAAAATGGTGGCGCCCAGTCAAAACGATCTGATCGATAATCAAGATCTATATTGTGATAAAACGGATCTTACATCGTGAAATGCATCAAATCACGTGAACACCTTTATTAAAAACACGAAAAGATTTGGAAAATATCTGTTGACAACGAGTTGGCGGTGCACATGTTTTGCAAATCCTGCAATCGACCGAAATCTGCACGACAGTTTACGAACCGGATTTCGATTTCGGTGCGCGAATTTGATTGGACTATGCATAGACTCGTTAGTCCAGCCAAAATGTAACTCCATAATACCAGCCTAGTTCGGCAAGGGCGGAAACTGGACTTTTATAGTCAGTTAATTCTCTTGCCTCGGGAAGATGGGAAATATTGACCTGAAACCAAATTCAATAAAGGACGAGGTACGACAGGGATCCTTTCAGGTCAATAGGTGTGAGTGAGTTTGGTTTAACGCCGCTCTCAATAGTGTTCAAGTTGTGTCACGGCGTGTCAGCTTAGTGTGGGAGGAAAGACAGAACTGATGCAGGTCTCAGATTTTTGAAACTTTAGTGAAACCCACGAGCACAGGTATAGTGCCGACAAAACCTAGAAACACAATCACTTCGAACCGGGATTCGAACCCAAGAGAATATTTATTTCCGGTTTCTGCCGTGTCCAAGGGACGCAGCTCTGCGACTAACGGGTTCGGTGGTAACCGGTCAGGCTCGCTGATTTGGTTGATGCATGTCGCCGTATCCCAATTGCGTAAATCGATGCTCATGATGTCAATCACTGGATTGTCTGGTCCAGACTTGATTATTTACAGACCGCCGTCATATAGCTGGAATATTACTGAATGCGGCGTTAAACAACAAACAAACAATAATGCCAATTTTCACATTCAAATTTGATATTTCCAGCGGTTCACAAGGATCCTTGTCATATTTCGTTGAAGACTCATTTTTACGACAAATGGATGGGTCACATGTCACATTCAAGCGACTTTGTGACTTTCACTTTGTGGCTTTCACTTTGTGACTTTCACTTTGTGTATAACATGTACATACACACACGCATGCATACAAATGTAACATATTTATGCATTTGCAACAGACACCTACATTTGAGCAGTAACAACACAGCGGTAGTTATTGCTGGTATGCAGTGAGCAGTAATCTTACAGAATATGAACTGCAATAACCCTACTAGAATCTAACAATATGTGAATTACGGGTGCATCAGTGAATCTCAATGAACGACATAACGGTGCATTATATATAGTAGAGCATAGTGCCTCTGTTAGGCGCCCCACACTACCCTATTAAAGGTACAACTGTTTATCGTGGCGGGGCATATTCTTAACTATAAGTTGCACATGCTTTAGAATCTTTTGTCCGAGTGTGTCCAAAATATAAAAGCGGGTGCGGTTTAAAACGTGAAAAGATAGTCATTCTTAAACACAGTTCGGCGTTGTTGATATGTTTTCGATGGTGAGTAATGTATAGTTAGGTTGTTTGTGAGTAGGTGCTGTGGTCAGCTGTCATGGCGCAGAACCAAAAGACGCCGGAAACGTGGACGAAACAGGCATGGCCGGAACTACTTTTAGAGGTAAGATGTAGCAGTGTCATCACGTCTATGTGTCGTTCCCCGTGGGACCGGGGAGAGAGTAGTTCCCATGGTCCCGTATTACTACGCGTTGTAAGGGACACGACTGTCGTACGGTTATATTCAAATATGGAAGTCAAGCTCCGTGACTTCTGTGATACGTCGGCGTTGAAGTTGTTCATGATATCAACACGTTGTTTGTCTGTTCTGCCTCTCTCATCCCCCCCACCCCTCTCTCTCTCTCTCTCTCTCTCTCACACACTCACACACACACACACACACACACACACACACACACACACACACACACACACACACACACACACAGAACAGCCAATGTATTCTAGTTTTGGTATCAACTGTCTGCTTTCTAAGAACGGCTTTCATAACAAAGTTAAACTAATTTGCCTGGAAAAAAAACAAGCATACACTTGAAAATTGGATTTGACCAAAACAATTACAAACGTTATCGTTTTGATAGGCTGAAAACCATCTTTCCGAGGCAAGTTAACTGTCAGCGGAGACTGGACTTTTAGAGCCAGTTAACTTCCTTGCCTCGGGAAGATGGCAGAAAATACTGAGTGATACCCGTGTCAAATACATCACTACCGAATAACCATTTCCTATTTGTTTCATTCTCAGTCCAGGCAGTTTATATGTAGTAACTTGAATGACTGTAATTTCTTGTTTTTGGTGATATTACGCGCAACCCATGCTTGCCGTAAAAGGTTACTATGTTTGTCGTAAAAGGCGACTAACGGGATCGGGTGGTCAGGCTCGCTGACTTAGTTGATGCATGTCATCGATCCCAATTGCGTGGATCGATGCTCATGATGTCAATCACTGGATTGTCTGGTCCAGACTCGATTATTTTACAGACCGCCGACATATAGCTGGAATATTGCTGAGTGCGGCGTTAAACAACAAACCAACCAACCAACCAACTGTAGTTTGTCTTAAACCCTCCTATCGCCATCTTCTCGAGACAAGGGCGTTAACTGACTATAAACTGGACATTAAGATGGCTATCGCGTATGCTATGATAAACTGGGAAAATTATGTTTTTCAGGATGGAGAACATGCCAAAGCTGTCATATTACAAGAAAATCCAAATCTGGAGGTATTTGTCATTTTAAATATGCTTACCTGCTCTAGAGTCGCATGTTACCGGTAGGGAAGGTCATGCCCTCCCGCGTCGCGAACACCTTGTGTCATTACTCCCTTCATGAAGTCATATCGTGAGGGTACGTTCTAGAAGTCCAGGCCTCCATTTGTCACTGTTTATTTTCTAGTTAGAGAGATACCAACATAACTACTCGAAGGTGGTAACTTTTTTTCAAATTACGCTATCCTTATAGAGTGTAACACATATTGTCAGTGAATATAATAGTACCTTTGTGGTACAGGAGAGAGTTCCCCATAAATAAAGCACTATCTGAGACAAAATCATTGCAAGACATGGACAAGTTGTCGCCACACTGGAATGGTCGTTAACGCCCGTACTGTCATTGTCAAGCGAAATGCTTGCAGGAAATATAATAGTTGTTGCTGATGCTTAAACACTAAACATTCACATCACTGAGTACCAGATGCCTTTTCCGTCAAAGATGATCGAACTTAAATCCATCTTTCGATATCCATGTATTCTACATTCACGGGTGAAACAGATCAGTCCTTTAAGATCCGGGGAGGAATAGGTCTTCATGCAGCAACCCATGCTTGCCGTAGCAGGCGACTATGCTTGTCGTAAGAGGCGACTAACGGGATCGGGTGGTCAGGCTCGCTGACTTGTTGATGCATGTCATCGTATCCCAACTGCGTAAATCGATGCTCTTGATGTCAATCACAGGATTGCCGGGTACAGACTCGAATATTTACATACAGGCCGCCGTCATGTAGTTGGAGTGTTGCCGAGTGTGGCGTAAAACTGCAAGCAAACCTATTTCGTTGACAGGTATACCTAGTGCCAGTGGATTACATCGTCACCTCGGAGGCCGACAAGGATAGAGTGAGGATACGGGTCGATGAAGATGGTATGGTCACCAAGACGCCAGTACGTGGATAAGCCATGCCTGACAGAAACTTTGTTCCAAATGTATGTAATTACACTGGCGGATTCAGCGTGGGTGCAGGGACTTTCCTTCGTGACCAACTCGTGTTATTCCGGGACAAGCCGAATAGTGTCTCATGCCCCTCTCATGGCCATGTTTGCGACCGGGTTCCGTCTTAGCGCAAACGGGCATACCTAAAACAATTATCAACTCGTTGCGTAATTGTTTACATGTTTTTCCCCATATTTCAGTTGCAACTTAAAGCACATCGGGACATGCGGAATTTTACAGTATGATTGAACACATTTAACTGTGTCTTTGGTATATTTTTAGATGCAAGACATATGTAAAATCAAAAATTATTTCTGAGGGATTCTTTGACGAAGGACTTGAAATCATACGCGCATTCTGATTGGTTTGTCGATCATAGTGGCCTCTCATGACAAGTATGGGCTGCTGACGACCTATTCTAATCCCCCGGTCACTGGGTGAAATATTGTGTTATCTGGGAAATCATTATATTGAAGTGATGAAAGGTTTTTGTTTACTACATCTACAGCTATGCCGCCTTTCATTTCACCATGGATACACTGGTGTATTTTTCATCTTTTGGTAAAAAATCATGCCTAAAGAAGTTGCATTTTTTATTGTTTCACACAATAACACTGAACTGAAACCATTGATTGATATCATGAGCAACGTCCCACTATGGGATACAATGATAAATAATGAAACAAGTCACGAGCCTGCCCACCCAATCGATTAAGTCAAGTATAGACTGTCGGGGGTCTTTTCCAACCATGTGGCTGTGACTTCAAAGATAAGGTAACTACAAATGCGAAAATATTTGGAAGATTTTGTTGTTGTTTGACGCTGCACTCAGCAATTCTCCATCTATCTGACAGCAGCCTGTAATAATCAAGACCGTGGCAGCCAATCCAGTGGTTAATACCATGAGCAATGATCCATGCCATCGGGGACTACGACAGGCTGTCTCAAAGAGCATTTTTTGTTTGTTGTTTAACATCGCTCTGGGCAGTATTTCAGCTATATGACAAGGACCTGTGTAAATAATTCAGTCCAGACTAGATACACCAGTGGTTGATATCATGAGCAACGATCCATGTCGTCGGTGAATGATGACATGCAATCAACCAAGTCACCGAGACTGACCACCAGATCCATTTTGTCTCATCGATCCAGGATCGATTGCTTGGGACCTATTCCAATTTAGGAAGTGACAAAGATGTAATCGTGAAGGTGAAGATGGAAATGAGATCTCAGCCGTGACATCAAAACTTACTACCTTTGTCTGAGAACAATGTACCAGTTAAACCACCATTTCAAAACTTAACACTATAAAAGTGCGATCATATCCCAAAATGACAATGTAAATATTGTAAGCATTAAATTGATTATGAGTAGCTTATAGCTCAACAAACAAATTGAATATGCAAATTAGGTTCCATTTCATACAGGCTTGGAATAATCAGATTTAAATATTTTTCAGTTCTTTAAAACTATGGCTCCAAGACATATATGTTCCTCTGGCGCAGCAACACATAGGGTCATATATGTCCCAGTGGCAGCCAGGGGGTTATAACCACCTGGTATCTCCAACACTATTTACCCTGGACATCACATACAACATGATACTCACTGGAGGTGTTAAATGAGTTTTATTCAATAACGGTGTATAAGTCTGGAATACAATCCATTGAGTATTAAGGTCAACTATTATGATCATTACCGTATTCCACGTAATAAGCACCCTGCTCTAATAAGCGCCCACTGCGATATTTGCTAATATATTGGCTAGTGAACAATCCCAGTTCCTTCTGATTGATCAATGTACACAAGACTAATTTATTTGTGTATAATACACACTCGTGTGTTATATGCACACTTAATTATGGGCAATTAAATTCTGGAAAAATATATCTGAATAAATACATTTGTATCATTTCAGGCTGTCAGCATAAACCACGAAATTCACGATCTTTCAACTGTTTTTTTCACCAAAATTTTATTCTAGTAAGCCCCATATTTCTAATCTTGAGAGCGCCCTGGACGCTTATTACGCCAAATACGGTAATTTAATTTTGAATAAATCATGGTCCAGACATGCATAGTCCAGATGGATCTTGAGCAACTGATGATATTATTTTGTTTGTTTGTTGTTTAACGCCACACTTGCCAATATTCCAGCTATATGATGTCAGTCTGTAAATAATCGAGTCTGGATCAGGTAATCCAGTGATTGACATCATGAGCATCGATCCACGCCATAGGGATACGATGACATGCATCAACCAAGTCTCAGGCTAACCACCCGGTCCCGTTACTCGCCTTTCACGACAAGTATAGTCGCCTGTTACGGCAAACATGGGTTGCTGAAGACCTACTCTAAGCCAGAACTTCACGGTTTGGTCTTATTTCACGTGGGCATGTCAAATATATTTATATTCAAAAGACAATATTAAGTTCAATGCATCTTTGAAACTTCGAGAACAAAACTACAATGTGAAGCTCATCCTGATATCCAAGTAAAATAATTTGGTGCCAATTTAAACGTAAGTTGTATAGATGAGTATCTCTAAATGCAAGTTGTAAAGACTTGATAAAATAATCAATAAGGCAGCTTCGAGATTAAAATCTCCTCACACTGAAGACTCTTAGATCCAAGCGTTGCTGGTCCATGCTGTGATGTTCATTACTAGGTAAAATATTTCTCATTCCCTCACACAATCTGTAAACAATTCTAGTAATTTGGCAATTTATGCAACCTGTGTAATTATCAATATCCAGTCACAGCCTACTTTTCCAATAACCGTTTAGGTAATTCTGCATGAGCTCTGTAACACACTGACATACATTTCATATACACTCATAAATCAATAGAAATTAAAGACAACATTAGGTGAGTGAGTGAGTATGGTTTTACGTTGCTTTTAGCAATATTCCAGCAATATCACGGCGGGGGTCACCAGAAATGGGCTTCACACATTGTACCCATGTTGGGAATCGAACCCGGGTCTTCGGCGTGACAAGCGAACGCTTTAACCACTAGGCTACCCGACCGCCCCGACAATATTAGGTCACAGCGAACTTATGTATAAAGTTTATCATATGCACATTTTCCTTTGGTATCTGGTGATGTTTACATACTTGGCACAAAACAAAAGCTGATCGTGTAAAATCAGGAAATGCTGTTTTGGATCACTTGGACCAGGTTATGATGATGATGATGATGATGATGATGATGACAGAAGAAACAAATCTAAAACAAAATACTAAATCAAGATAACACAATGCTTAACTGACTAAAATATATTATTAGGAGATAAAGCTACTGTGTTTTAAATTTAGAGGTTTTCAATGTTGATTTGATTACCACACATTTCATATGAATACGAAAGTGCCAGCTTATAGGTCTGAAACCCCTACATTAAAAACAAAAACAAAGTGAGAAAATAAACACATACTCTTTCAAAAGAGAACTGATGACACAATCTTATCTTATTATTAATATTTTGCAATATACTAACCAAATCATTTTTCATCAGGCTTTATGTGTAAAATGTATTGCCACACTTGTATTAGGCTTCAAAAAATAATATTCTTGGTTCTCAGGCACCGCCCGCTTCATCATAAAGTTCACCGTACGTTTTTATTTCCATTTTTAAAAAAAAACCACCAAAATCCTTAAATATTCCAAGTCCAATGGTAGTCAAATACTGTATTCCGGTATTTTACTCATCAAGGAATACATTTATGTAGGGAGGCCCTTTCCCGGGTTGATTGTACACAATTGGTTATTGATTACACAACTGTTTATTAGTAACATACTAGTTTGAACAAAAAAAAGAAAAAGACACCCCCGCACTATATTTTCAAAAACCATTGCCTGAGAACCAATTCTTTTAATTTTTTAAGCCTTAAATACTCCACAACCCACAATATTGTATTTTGCAGCATTTATTAAGTACAATCAGATCGTGAAATTGAAAACTGTTTTTAAAAAAAATAATTTTTAAATAAATATTTTCTTTAATATTCTTTTGTGGCCATCAGCAAAATTATGGTCTGAAGCGGATTTGCTACTCCTGCCGGACCAATCAGAATACAGGATTTTAAAATGTCATGGTAGAAAGGAATGTGTAAAGTGATGATAGACTATGTAAATAATTTGAAAAATGGTTCTGTGAATAATAATGGTGATTATGACTGAAAGATATGCAAACCCTGACAAGCCATTCCATGTAAAGACTGTGTCATGGACAAGGTGAACATCAGTCAGTCATCTACATTTCTCTATATATGGAAGATTTTGTTGAGGAAGTCGATACAGTCAGAGAATGGCTGCCTGGTCTGCAGCCGGACCAGCCAGGTGGCAACAGAGGGGTACCTGTCTGCCGAGATCTTCATCCCCACGTGGGCAAACAGGGCCAGGCGAGAGAACACGCAGATGTCTGCCAGAGACAGGTTCTCTCCAACCAGGTAGGTCTTGTCCTGGAATACATTACTATAGGTCACCAGTGGTAGATCATTAAACCTGCCAAATAAACATACTGTATTCGACGTAATAAGCGCCCAGGGCACTCTCAAAATTAGAAATAGGGGGCTCTTATTAGAATACAATTTTGGTGAAAAAAACCCAGAGTTGAAAGATTGTAAATTTCGTGGTTTATGCTGACAGCTTGTAATGATACAAGAGAAAAGTCTCTGTGTATTACACGCGACAGATATATTTTCCAGAATTTAATTGCCCATAATTAAGGGTGCATATAACACACTGGTGGGTAATAAACATGAATAAATAAGTCTTGTGTATATTGATCAATTGGAAGGGCTGCTAATTGGGATTGTTCACTAGCCAGTATATCAGCAAATGTCGCCGTGGGCACTTATTTGAGTGGGGCGCTTATTACGTCGAATACGGTAATTTAAAATATGACCTCCTTACCTCATTGAAATGAATGAAAAATTTGAAATGTGACCCCACACACAGGTTTGTTTGTTTGTTTGTTGTTTAACACCGCACTTAGCAATATTCCAGCTATATGACAACGGTCTGTAAATAATCGAGTCTGGACCAGACAATCCAGTGATTGACATCATGAGCATCAATCCAAGCAATTGGGACCGATGATCGGATCGATGCTCATGATATCAATATCTTGATTGTCTGGTCCAGACTCGATTATTCACAGATTGCCACATATAGCTGGAGTATTGCTGAGTGCGGGGTTAAACAACAAACCAAACCAAACCAAACCAAACCAGAAAACGTACCACACAATAAACACATGTGACACTCCCTGCCACCCACCTGTAGCGATGCCTCGAGATGCTGGAGACGGATGTGAAGTAACTCAAATGTTAGTTCCTTCTTCTTCCTCCTGTCCATATTAGTGTCCATCAAATGTCCATAGTCTCTCGTCAGCTGGGGCCAACAGGGACTGTCCTCTCGTAATCTAAAAAATGTTGAGGCAAATTTCCCACAAATTTCCTAAATGAGTTGTAGCAAAAATGAAAACAAGAATATTTTCAACATTTACAAAAAAGTATATTTTGGGTTTTTATTTCTATTTCCAAGTATTGTTGTTTACTTTACCTAAATTTAGGTAGTTTTGTCTGTAAAACACAAAAATGTATGGGTCTGGCATTGTTCAGTAGAAGAAAAACAAAACAAATTGGGCAGGAAAATCAAAAGCTTTAAGGTAACATTTGTAATTTTATTACCTAATTTATAAATGCCCTCGTTATCAAACAAATGGAAATTAGTAAAATTCAGCTATCCTTGATGATCCATTTTATTATATCTCCATTCTATTCTGATAAAAATCCTGGCCCAGTTTGCCACCAGTTTCAGCAGCTCAATCTTAGCACACAAATTTCTCTCAGTCGTGAGCATGAAACAACCAATCTGAGTTCGCCCTGGATCTACTTTCACAATCGTGACCTCATCTGTATGAAAAATCGCTGCCTGATATGTTGTTTAAACAAATCACAAGCCTGTTATAAATGATATTTTTGCTGGAAGGGATGTTTGTGTGTGTGTGTGTGCTTGCCTGTGTATGTGTATGTGTATGTGTATGTGTATGTGTGTGCTTGCCTGTGTATGTGTGTGTGTGTATGTCTGTGTGTGCATGAGTGTCTGACCGTGTGTGTGTGCAAGTGTATGTGTCTCTGTGTGTGTATGTTTGTGTGTGCGTGAGTGTCTCTGTTTGTGTGTGTCTGTATGTGTGTGTGTGTGCGTGCCTGTGTATGTGTCTGTGTGTGCATGAGTGTCTCTGTCTGTGTCTGTATGTGTCTGTGTTTCTATGCCTGTGTATGTGAGTGAGTGAGTGAGTGAGTTTGGTTTTACGCCGCTTTTAGCAATATTCCAGCAATATCACGGCGGGGGACACCAGAAATGGGCTTCACACATTGTACCCATGTCGGGATTCGAACCCGGGTCTTCGGCATGACGAGCGAACGCTTTAACTACTAGGCTACCCGACCGCCCCCTGTGTATGTTTCTCTGTGTGTGTCTGTATGTGTGCGCGTGCCTGTGTATGTGTCTCTGTGTGTACGTGAGTGTCTGTGTGTGTGTCTGTATGTGTGCGTGCATGCCTGTGTATGTGTCTCTGTGTGTATGTATGTCTGTGTGTACGTGAGTGTCTGTGTGTGTGTGTGTGTGTGTGTGTGCATGCCTGTGTATGTGTCTCTATGTGTGTGTGCGCGCCTTTGTGTCTCTGTGTGTGTATGTCTGTGTGTGCGTGTATATATATATGTGTGTATGTGTGTGTATGTGTGCATGTGTGTGTGAGTGTATGCCTGTCTCTGTGTCTGTGTGTGCCTGTTCTATGCCAAACTCTCCAGGCAAGACACACTAGACCACGGAGATGGTCAGCAGACTTTGATGGAGATTTCAAGATGATACTGAAGTCCCACTGTGACTGACAGAGTGCGACCCATGTACTTGTGATGCTGGGGCAGGACTTACCCCATCATGAAACACCTGAGGATGCTGTTGAACTTGGCGTGGTACGTGGGGTTACCTCTCAGTGACAGCAGCTCGTCCAGGTGCTCCTCGTACCTGTCGTATCGCACCATAACTTGCATATATTTTGAGGCTTAGTCATCACAAAGATAGTAGCATTCTTGCATCTTAAATGTTAGACATTATTCCTTACATCCTAAGCTCGCTACAACAGCTTGCAGTGTTTCCAGTTCACATAGAATAACATCAATTGTTCGCAATGAAAACTGATAATATGCATCCATTTTTTAGCATAATTCCTAACTTTGCTTTAAGTGAACTTATCATAGGTTACTATAAGTCTAATTGTCATTCATAAAACATAAATGTGTAAAATATGTTCACAAAAAAAACAAGATATAATCGGATTGTGTCATCTAGAACAAGTTATTTGTCTTTGAATGATGCTCCTCCCGTCCCTAAAGTTCCCTGTGTTATCAAACTAATCCTTTAACTTTGACTTCGCTGTGCAGAGTTGCTTCCCTTTGGCATTAAAGATCCTGTGATTGTGATTTCAAATCTGAAATTCACCCTGATTATTATTCTTGATATTTGGACAACTAACATCCACCAAAAGTTAAAAGACCTCTATGACCACCATCATTTAATGGTTATTCTACATCAAGTTGACATCCCCTGAAATACCGTTCACAGCGACAGAAAACTTACTCCTCCACACTTTGACTCCCATCACAAAAGGGTTTGAGTAAATTTGTTTACAATTTTGGGTAAAAAGATTAATATTTCAAATAGAGTGAGTGAGTGAGTGAGTGAGTGAGTGAGTGAGCAAGTGAGTGAGTGAGTGAGTGAGTGAGTGAGTGGTTTTACGCTGACTTTGAGCAATATTTCAGCAATATCACGGAGGGGGACACCAGAAAATGGGCTTTACACATTGTACCCATTTGGGGAATCGAACCCGGGTCTTCGGCGTGACGAGAAAACGCTTTAACCACTAGGCTACCACACCGCCCTCAAATATAGACAATAAATTATTTCCAGTACGTTTCATAGATAAATTACCTGAGTACCATAACCTTAGAGACAATGCACATTTCAACAAGGGGAGCTAACTCATTGAAGTACATGGTTTGTTCCCAAGCCTGCCAACACTGCACTTGTGACCTCTGTTCTGGATTGTCCGGCAACAGTTCTGTAACCATAACAACGTGGTAAGGAAGAAGAAAAGATTGCATCTTACAATATTGCTACACCCCCATCCACCAACACTATAGAAAGCAGGGGTCCGGAAAATTTAAAATCCCAATCGGACATTTGCATTTAGGCCACGCCCCCTTCAAAAAGCGTATTTTAGTACGACTTTTCACACACATTACAAGTTGTTACGTATTCATAATATGATGAATTATGAATTGTTTCAATTTAAATTGTTTAATTCACCGGACAATTAATAAAAAAAAATATCATTTTAGATATACATGGAAAACATACGTTTGTTTCTGTTATAATAACGATCTGTTAACGTAACGAACGGTCTAATTAATATTTATGAGTTATATTCATGAGTCTGCTCAAGTGTACGCGTTGTAACATTTGGATCGAGACTATTATCCCATATTTGGTTATCACGTGACCTCACGGGAAAAGATTTTTTTAAACTAAAGATTATTTAAAAACAAGACAGATAATATAATCACAAATACTAAAATATCGTTGATAGCAATAGTTATTTGAATACTATTTTCATCTGTACTTATTTATTGACCATAAAAAAATTTGATATCGATCGTCACAGAAAGCAAAATGGCGGTCATTCAAGATTCAATATACGACTAGCTACTGAAAACAATAAAATCTGCAAATCCTCATTGTATGTCAACCAAGTGAAAGTCGTTAGCCACGACTTACACATTAGAAAGTATACCAAATATTGAAAACTTAGTGATTCAAAATTTTAAAACTGAACTAAAGATCATTCTTGAATATCTAACAGATGGCCAAGATTGTGTGGCATTACTCCCATAGTCTATGGCAAGTCTCTTATGTTTCAAACCTTTATCCTATCAAAGCGTACGATAGATGACGAATCATATGATGACGAATCGATGATGGAATCAGTCTTACAGCCCATAACTTTTGTTCGGAATACCCTGTGTTAACCCTTTTTGAGCTTGCATGATTAGAAAACACATTCTGACTGTCATTTTCCCAATCTGGTAAGCAATGCTCTGATTTGTCGCATTAAAGGTCGTTCTGACGGGACCCATAATGGGATGTCCTCAGATCTTTGTTCAGCGATAGCGTGAACAAAGATTGGATTTTAATGAGATTTGATGAAAAGATGCATCTACAAACATCTAACAGAAAATAATTATATACATTTCATATAGTCTCTGACCACTACAAAACCCTTATGAAGGGAACTAACCTCTGATTGAACAAAATAGATATATAATGCTTCATTTCTTTGGCCGCTTATCACATCAACTCATGACGAATGCCAAATGAAACAAATATATTAAAATTAACAATTTTTTTTATTAAATTTCAAATTACCATAACTTAGTAATATATCTGTTAAATCTTTCAGTTTAGGAAAAACCTTACTTACTCCAAGTGTACTTTCACAACAAACTGAGATACCTACTTTTGCCACTAAAAGCCTTGTCCAGATACTCCAGGACGGTCCTGGGACCTGTCACCATACGGCCGCCATGTTGTATCCTCATCACTGATCCTGACCCAGCTGCTCGGCCAATCAGATCGATGAAGGGACAGTCAACACTCTTGTAGGACACACCCTTCCATGGAAACAATAGGAATCATAGTGAGGACCCATCAATCAATATTCATGACCAACAATGGATCAGAATGACAGGTGATCTGTGCAAATGTCCCCAAACCTCAAATAAATTTTTTTTAACAAGCATGAAATACTCACATCCCCCACCAATATGACATGTCTGGTTGTGTGCAAAGCAAGAAATATATTACGTTTTTCAAGATCTGCTCCAGAAACAAGCACTACCGCCATTTTCAGTCTAAGTCACAGTTGTTGCTATGGAAACTCAAAAAGAAATTCTCCGAAATGACAAACTATTAAAAGGCACCAGTTTACCAATAGACCTATGTATGTGCCAAGTTTGGTGAAGAAATATTATACAGTTTTCAAGATCTGCTCTGGAAAGGAGCACTGAAATCTTTATAGCCAAGACATTTCCCCGTGATTGAATGAAATATGTGTATCGTATGAATCGTATCATGACCTGATACATGTGCTGATACTTGGAGAACAGGAACATGTACACAAGAAGAGTGGACATTTTACCTTTTCACTGAGGAGTATTTTCACCTGCCACACCTCGGTGGAGGTGGGGTAGTTGTAGACGGTGATGTCATCTTTGTGGACGTAGGGTAGCTTGGCCTGGACCAGGGACTTGGTGCTTGCCTGGATCAGGGACTTGGTGCTTGCCTCGATCAGGGACTTGGTGCTTGCCTCTGTCTCTCCTATAGCCCTGAGACCAAACAACAACGATTGCAATGGTATTGAGATAGGTAAACACACTATTGTAGGGGGTTCGTATAGGCCTACAAACAAAGTGCCTGTTGCAGGCAAATTCTGAATAAATCAATGTTTTGTTCATAATTTGGATTTTTCTAAAGTCATATTTTCTTAAATTCAGAGTCACTGCAACAATTCATTTTAGCAATGAATTCAATGCATGATGAAAATCCTTCTCCTCTCTCTTGGTCCAGTTATCAATGAAACACATGCCACTTCTGCAAAGCCATAACAATAGTTGCAACTATCATAATTATTATAACAAAAAATTGAAATTTTTCAATACAAATGTAGGAATTTTTTAATGACATTTGTTGTATTTTTGTGGCCAAATATCGACCTTATGGCAGGTCTAACCAAGCATGAAATATTCATATCCCCCGCCAATATGACATGTCCGGTTGTGTTCAAGGCAAGAAATTTGTACATTTTTCAAGATCTGCTCAAGAAAGGAGCACTACCACAATTTTCAGTCTTAGTCAAAGTCGTTGCCATGGAAAGTCGAAAAAATAAATTTTCAAAAATCCAAAACTATCAAAAGGCACCAGATCACCATTAGACCTATCTATGTGCCAAGTTTGGTTAAGATATCTCTCATGGTTTTTGACAGACTGAAGGAAGGATGGACAGCACCAATTACTATATCCCCTTCCACTTCGTAGCAGGGGATAATATCCCCCAGTTATTGTGAGGCTACAACCACTGCGGTGACAGCTTGACAAGTACAGATACTGTCCAACAGAATTGACTTCCATGGCGGCCATATTGAACTTTGGATTCTAACCTCTTGCTAATGATGCAATGACTGACAAACAGTCCATGACAGAAGCCCCCTTGTCTTTTCAGTCAGGTGAGATGACAAAGTGATAATAATTTTGTATAAAAAAGGAAACTTATTAACTATGATTCAGAACTTTCAACATCCATACCTGTCTATGTGTGGACTTCCATCAAAGCGCTTGTGTTTTGTGCCACACTTGAAGTTACTCAGTCCGACGAGCAGCCATGGGGCTTTGGTCATGATGGTGTTTGAAAAGCGTACCATGGTTTTCTCACTTGCCTTGAAGGACAGTCTACCCTCCAAGTTTTTTAAATATCGGACAATATTGGGGAAGTGCTTGTCTGTGAATGGTAGCCCACTGACAAAGAACATCCGAACTCGGGGCAAAACTGTCAAATCGGCCACTGTGAATCTGTCTCCAACCTAAACATATCGAGCTGACACTGATCAATCTGGACATATGTATGTACAGAGCTCCAGATAAGATGCGTATCTGCGTAAAATACGCATCAGAAATGCAGAAATACGCAGTAAAATAAAATCCTGCGTATTCGATTAGCAAATCAGAAACTTATTTTGAAAATATAAACGGGCATTCCGTCAACCTTGCCAAACTTCACAATGACAGTTACATCATGATCATTTGCCATCACACTTTCTTGTGGAAGTATCGTGCTATTTTTGAGTCCTATAAAGCTCTCGAACCTACACAACACCAGTTTGCAGGGACTAGATGAATAGTGTTTTTAAAAATTTAACTTAAATACCCACATGTGTAAAAACTAGTGGGTAATTACTGATACCCAATGATTTTAAAATGCATGGGTTAAATACCCACAACACCAAAAGCTTATCTGGAGCTCTGATTGTAGAAATCATACGAGTATGTGTCATACTGATTTTACGAAATCAGTGTCAGAATTCTTCTATTTCCAGAGGGATATACTAGAACTCTTACACGAGTTTAATAAAATCAGTACGACACAAGTGTAATAATTTAGTTATTAGTTTCATCTTAGTTTTTGCTACCGCTAAACAAGGATCTGAAGACATCCCATTACAGGTCAAGTCACAACGACCTTTCAGCCGACCAATCAGAGCCTCGCTTACCTGATTAGGAATGTGATATTTGGAATGTATTTCCTAATCAGGCAACCTCAAAAGGGTTAACACGGGGTATTTCAAACAACAGTTGTGAGCCGTATGACTGATTCTGTCAAAATAGTTCCCTGCATCTCGCTTCCGTTGGATAAACATTTGAAACGGAACAGCCCCTAGGAGAACTACCTTACAATCTTGGCCATCTATTAGACATTACAGAATGTTATTTTGTTCAGTCGTCCACTTCTAAATTGAGAACTTTGTCCAAATATTTTTCAAAGCGTTGCCCAGGGAAGTTTGAAACTAGTGCTGTAAAGCTCAAAAAGCTGCTTTCTGATTGGATAATGTCCACTTCTTGTTGGTCATTTAATTGGTTGGTCAAAGTCCCTGAAAGGTCATTGTGACATGAGCTGTAATAGGATTTCCTCTGATCTGCTTAGCGGTATCGAGAACAAAGATCTGATTTGAATGAGATTGACAAGACTAAAGACCAACGAAAGAAGAATTTGTCCTGCTTTAGAAATGTCAGACAAAACTAAGAATCTTAATTCCAAACAAAACTAGTAAGCAAGATACTACTCAAAGCACATTATACTTCTACTCAGCACTGAATGAGAAACCACTATGTAAAATGGAGAGAGAGATTCTGACCAGGTACTGTCTGTCTTGCAGCCCCGTCTCCAGGACGACCAGGTTCTGGTAGCACGCGAGGGCATGTTTCTCCAGCTCCTCCTGGGTTCGGTGGGTCCCATCATACACTCTGAAACAGGCAGGACAACAGGGCCTTACCAGGTGCCAGATACTGGATCATATATGCATGCAAGTAATTTACATTATTAGTCTTGCTTCAGATTTCCCTCAAAGTACTAGTGAGAATCCTCTGCTAAAAGAAAAAAAGACTGTGTGTTTGGATATAAAGATGCTAGCCCTTATTGTAAAACCAGAACCAGACCTCGCCAAAGGAAAAACTCCCTCCCTCCCTCCCCCCCTCTCTCTCTCCAAACATAAAGAGATGCATTGAAGAAACACTGTTCACTATTTACATCATTCACTTTGAGCATGTCTCCGGAACGCAGTCATTTCATGCAGCACAAAGCACATGCAGAAATGTGTGCATTTTCCCCCTTTTCACCATATAAAAAAACAAAACACCAACATTTCACACTTGACTTTGAAAAGGTTCAGGAAACAAGGTTCCATTAACTGAACTCCAAAGAGGCGTTGCTGTCTGGATGCTACAGGCAGGATTAACATCAACTGCAGTGGCGAGGCACTTTGGGTGTCATGTGTCTACCATCCCCAGATTGGTCACAAGGCATCCACAGAAAGCCAGTGTCCAACACCAGCCTTGTACTGTGCCGCCGAGGGTCAGTACTCCAGTGCAGGACTATTACGTGTGTGACTGACAGTGACGAGCAATACAGACAGGTGCAACCATTCAAGGTCCACATGTAAGCCGACACAGTTCGTCTTCGTCTAAGAGGGGCTGGAATCAGATATCGTTGTGCTATGTTGGGCCCATACTAAACGACGCCAACAATGTCTGCAGTGGCCCAACAGCACCTGTGTTGGCGACATTCAGCAGCGGCAGCAAGTTGTCTTTCTCACTCCGATAGCCATATCAGAGTGTGCATGCAAACTACTTAATGAGGGTACTGCTGTGTCTTACAGGCCAACCGGTGGGAAGGAGGAAGCATCGTGGTGTGGGGAGGCTTCAGTTATCATCACAGGAGCGATCTACACGTGTTCCGTTAGCGTGTGGCTACTGTCGTGTACATGGATGATGTTCTTCGTATTCATGTCAGACCGCTTCCTGGGTCAACCTCAACTCTAGGTCTTTCAGCAGGACAACGCTTGTCCCCATACAGCACAGGTCTCCATGCACTTCCTCAGGGTGAATAACATTCCTGTGATACCCTGGCCGTCTTTGTCACCGGACATGGCGCCAATGGAGCATGTCTTGTACGAGATTGGGAGACGTCTTCAGGCTGCAAGGCAGCCACATACACTTCAGGAACTGAAAGCCTTTTTGGTTCGGGAATGGAACGGCATTCTTCCAAAGACTAGCAACTCAAGGAGACATTAATGTGTGGCCTGTATAGCAGCTAACGGAAGCCACACACGCTATTGATGGGCATAACTGACATTTATCATGTTTCTGTTAAGGGGGTGCCAAGTTTTCAGGGGGATTTTTCAATAAATGCGGATTTGTCATCAAACAATCAAGCTAATTTGTTCTCAAATGTTTTTTTCTGTCATGATTTCTTAATATTATCTACATATCTTTTATGGTCTTAACGCTGTCCCCATTATATGTACACCTGGTGGAATATAGACTCAAGCTGGTCCTCTTCCCTTCATTCACGTACCTACAAAAAATGTCCCTTTTTGCCTTGGGCATGTTAGGATGGACAGTCTTGAGGTATGCCTCCTTTGATGGGTGTTTGAGTCTCAGGATGAATGGGAGGGTATTCTGATACACCAGAGGTACATGGTCCTGCAGCAGAACACATCATCATCATCATCATCATCATAGTAGACAGGGTTCACGTATAAAGACTTGGACCTGGCTGTATCAAAGCTTCATTAACTAACAGCTACAGTAAACCCTTATGATACATTAAATACATGGCCTTCCTACAGCAGAAACATGCACTAACTTCTTCATCGCTCATGGATTTGAGCATCTTCCCGAGGCAAGGGGGTTAACTGACCAGTCCAGTTTCTACCCTTGCCGAACTAGGCTGGAGTTATATTTGGGCTGGACTAATGAGGCTATGCATAGTCCAATGAAAAGTGTGTATCAAAATCAACATCCTGTTCGTAAACTGCCATGTAGATTTCAGTCGATTGCAGGATTTAGCGTCAACAGATATTTTCCAAATCTTTTCATATCTTTAATCAAGGTGCTCACGTGATTTGATGCACTTCGCGAAGTCAGATCAGTTTTATTACAACATAGACCTTGATTATCGATCAGATCGTCTTAGGGACATAGAAGGGACATAATTCGTAATAACCACTAGTGGCGCTACAACCGAACCCAGATATTCCAAGCTAGTTCGGCAGGGTGGAAACTGGACTTTCACAGTCCTTGCCCCAGGAAGATAGGTTTTGAGGTGCTGAGTTTGTTTTCTGAAAACACAGTCTTTCCTTGTGTGTCCTAAGCATTCAAAGAATATGTTCGCAGCCCTGTTTGTTTTTAATGACATGCTAATGATACCCCAGGACCTTAATTAAGTTAACGACGTCATTAAAATGTTAGTACAACTTGATTTAATGATACATTAGTTAATGAGGTTCAATGACATGTTGATGCATCAATGAAGTTTGATACAGCCAGGTCTTGGACATTATAACCCAAATTAGTTTCATTTATCACGAACCCTGAAGATCCGGGTAGAGAATAGGTCATCAGCAACCCATTCTTGTGATAATAGGTGACAACGTTCGTAAGAGGCGATTAATGGGATTGGTTGAAGCATGTCATCGAATCCCAATTACATAGATTGATGCTCATGATGTCAATCACTGGATTGTCTGGTCCAGACCGACGTCATATAGCTGTAATATTGCTGAGTGTGGCATTAAACAACAAACAAACAAATTATTTATCATATAATGGCAAGTAATAATATTGTTTATGCAACATACCAATCTGAAAAACGTGGTATCAAGATAAAAAGAATAGGCAAGAAGGTCGGTCACCTGACAGGAACTACTTTCAAGCTCTACATGACGCATGTGTACGTACCTGCTTACTATGTTGTCAAATGTTCCCAATACATGTACAGAGGGGGTTGAAATGTGTGGCAGATTCTGTAGACAAACATGGCTACAAAGCATCAGCTTGAGAGCATCATTTTGTGTTTAACACTCACACCTTATTAGGTTTCTTACATCGACAGACCCGTGAAGATCCGGGGTAGAATGGGTCTTCATCAACCCATGCTTGCCATAATGGGGGGCTATGCTTGTCCTAAGACGCGACTAACGGGATCTGGTGGTCAGGCTGGCTGACTTGGTTGATGCATGTCATCGCATCCCAATTGCTTTGATCGATGCTCATGATGTCAATCACTGGAATGTCTGGTCCAGACTCGATTATTTACAGAACGCCGTCATATAAAAAACAAACAAACAACAAATCTTACATCAACAAGACCAAGCTCCCAATCCATCCACATCTTGACCTGTGCCCTTTCCCAGGGGTCAACTGGGTACAGCCTGCTGCCTGGGCACACAGTGTCCAAGTACTCGATGATCACACTGGACTCGAACATCACACAATCAGGGACGTCCTGCGAAAACACAAGTCTATACCTTACAACAGGAGTCAGAGGTAAGAAATAAACATACCGGTAAGGAGTCAGAGGTAGGAAATAAACATAATGTGTTTTTATAAAACTCCAGTGACGTCATCCTATTGTTCTCCAGTCGGGTTAAATCTCATAAACAGGGACGTTGTAATGTCCCTGGGATTTAATACAATATCCCCGGGATTTTATAGGATATTCAAGTCATATTTGCTATATAATGTGTTATAATATCCCAGGGATTTTATATAATGTCCTGGGTATTTTATTAATATAACTTCTGTTCAGATTGTAACATGTAATGAAATGTAAAATCAAATGACAAATGTTTTCTTTATATTCCCGAGGATCGAACTCGCAACTTTCATATCTGTAGCCCAGTGAGTGTACCACAAGGCTACGGAGGTGTTGATAAGCCGCACTGCTTTTTAGAATGTCCTTTTCAAGATCCGTACGCCAGCAACAGATATTTTATGCCCGTTTCCTAAGGTTCATGGAAAGTATGTTCGAAACATAAAAATGTTGATAAATGTCTTAAGGTTCAAAATCTGTTTATAAGTAGGATAAAACACTTCCCCTCGGGTTGTTATGATATTTAAAACCCATTCCCTCGAAAAATCCCTCGGGATGCGGGTTTTAAATATCATAACAACCCTCGGACGTGTTTCATCCTATACTTAAATTTGAGGGTGTTTTTCACTACAGTAATCTACGGTTATAACAAACTCGAGGGGACCACTAATTTTACTTTGTAATAACTGTAGTTTGTTATAAGCATACATACAGCATTTCAACAAATGGTCGGGACGAAAAAATTAGTTCGTTATATCGGTCAGTTCGTTTTAAACGTAGTTGACTGTATTTGATGCCCTGAAATTTTGATATTTATATATATATACACCCTAAAATCTAAAACATTTTGCTTTTTGACATTGTAAAATACAAAAGTTATCAGTAGGATCCCGAAGGACACTTTCTCTACATGATCTCCAGCAGTTGTGAGACAGACGTGATGTCACTCTGGAAGGCTAGGATGTTAACCTGGAAAGCTATGACATCACCATGGAATGCGATGACATCATTATACAATGGATGATGTCACACATAATCCAGTGAACTCACCTAGCTAGCAGAAGTTTTTCTGATTAATAATCTGACCTGAAATCCAGTAGGTTTGATTTACAAACACATAACTTCTGTACATGACATGCAATACAGATATTGTTAGTAAAACTGATTAATGGTGTCACCTGTACGTTCTTGAATGCAATGGCTGGTATTTTTCTGTTGGGACTGATCTTCACGAAGTCTGGGTGATGATTCTCTCCCGTGAGCAGATTCACCTCAACCTGATGTACACAAACACACATAAACTACACAGCGAGCGAATGGGCTTAAAAATGTAGCATTGATGACTTGCCATCTTAATATTAAGGAAAGAAAGCAAGAAGTGATCGGTCGGTGCTGAGATCAATGATGGCGGCAGGACCCAGTGATATAATAGAAGACCAGACCCGTGAAGATCCAGGGTAGAATAGGTCTTCAGCAATCGATGCTTGCCGTAAAAGGTGACTTACAATGCTTGTCGAATGAGGCGACTAATGGGATCGGGTGGTCAGGCTCGCTGACTCGGTTGATGCATGTAATGGTATCCCAATTGTGTAAGGGATGCTCATGATATCAAACACTGGATTGTCTGGTCCAGACTCGATTATTTACAGACCGCCGTCATATAGCTGGAATATAGCTGAGTGCGGCATTAAACAACAAACAAAACATACAAGACCATAGAATACCCAGCTAACATATTGCTATGGCTGCACTTGATTCACAAACCAGTGATTGATAACATGAACACTCCACACCATCAGGAGTACAGTGTCTTACCGTCTTATATGGAATCTTCTTTTCATGGAGAGCAATACGGACTCTCCTTGCACAAGGGCTGTGTTCATTGTCAAACAAGGTGATGCCATCTTCAATTTCAAATTTGTTCCTGAGGTTAAAAAATATGAAACATAAGCCTTAAAAAAATAAAAGAATTGGTTCCCAGGCAATGTTTTTTTTTAAATATAGTGCGGGCGAGCGGTGTCTTTTTTTCTTCTTTTTTTTTGGGTGTGTGTGTGTTCAAACTAGTATGTAACCAATAAACAATTGTGTACAATCAACCTGGGAAAGGGCCTCTCTTCATGAATATATTCCTTGATGAGTAAATTACTGGAATACAGTATTTAACTACCGTTGGACTTATTTAAGGATTTTTTTTTTTTAAATGGAAATAAAAACGTAACATGCGGTGAACTTTATGATGATGTGTGTGGTGCCTGAGAACCAAGACTATTATTTGTTTTAGCCTAATAAATTATTATAAATGTAACCTACAGGTCTCGATCAATATTACCGCAATATCGTAGTGGAACTAATCGAGGCCAGGCCAGTCATTTATGAAGCAGACCGTAGGAAGGATTTTCATAGTAGGGGGTAGTCGATCCTCACTAATAACATATTTATCTCACGTGTGACTGACAAATTCAAAGTTGTATATATTTTCATGACTTTTGAGATAATATATATTCCACATATACATATATAGCTATGTCTCTCTTGTTTTCTTTTGGACTAGCTAAACTACAGCTAGGAGGGAACAACATTTCAAATTGTGAAAAATAGAAGAATGCATTCATGCAAGATTCTAATAGATCTTTATTCTAAAATATTAAAAATGTTATTGTTAAATAGAGAATCTCACCCGAGTGTCTTTTGATATCAAATATATCAACACGAGTTGATAAAAGTGGTAAAATTCTGAGTGAGATTTTATATATCATCCAACATCATTCTTCCAACTTTTTCAATTAGTAGACAGTAATTAGCAGTGTTTTCAGTGTAAAAAGTACTGCTAACAGCTTCAGTAGCAGAGCCATTAGTGATGTCATTTGATTGTGACGTCATGGTAACCGGTGACGTCACAATGGTCTGCAAAGCATTGTGATGTAATTTCATTGCAGCGATATCTACAGTGTAGATATCGCTTGATCTAGTCCAAGCAATATCTCCCGACTACAGAGTGTATTTCAAAATTACTACAATACTGGCCCCGATGTAATGATGTGTAAAATATAACAAAAACATCGTCACATCCGTGTTACAACCTACCTTGATCCGCTTTTCTGGAACAATTTTTCAAAGAACAATTGACAGAACGATATGATAAGCCCCATCCTCCTGCAAACACATCTGCCTTTGTCAACTCAGTTCACAATATGTCTCAGTTGCGGTATTGAGGACAGTATAACCTGGATTGTGTTAAGTAACAGGTGTTTATTTACAAACGACTGTCATGCAGCGAAAACCGCATGACCTTTGAAGTCGTTTTCATATCCCGCGTTGGGAAACCCGGAAGCAACAACTGCTATTTTAACATTGTTAGAGTTACCCCCCTTGACCACTGCTACACGCCCAGACATTTCCACGATCTGTCTTCGTAAGACATGTTTGAGATAGTGTTATGTAGGTAGATAAAACATGTAAGTTTTAAGATAAATTAATTAAACAAATATAGACTAATTGATAAATATATTTGTTTTATTATATTTCACATTGCGGGTGCAGATCACAAGACAGTGGCTATCGATGGTGTGGATGACATTCCTACGGTGTCAGCCTGCTGACGGGGTAACGTCTTTGGTCAGGGTATGGTTAGACGATGGTCTTGAGAACAGTGCTGGACGTTCCACTTCAAGTATCTTCACAACCCTTCATCCTATTAACTAAATTCATTAATTTGCCTCGCCTTCGTGATCACCGTAACAATTTTGGATCTTATCACCATCCAATGTTCCTTAAACAGATTTCTGAATTACATGTACAAACTGATCCATGCAGTTTTATCATGTTAATAATCTTGATCACTTACCCAATGGACCGTCTCCGTGGTCTAGTGGTAGAGCGTCCGCCCGGAGAGCGGAAGGTCCGGGGTTCGATCCCGGGCCGCGTCATAGCAAAAGACGTTAAAAGATGGTACTTGTTGTTACCCTGTCTGGCGCTCGGCATTAAGGGGCTAAAACAAGGACTGGTCGGCTCGGAGTCAGTATACTGTGTCTGAGTGGGGTATTCATGTTAAACTGCGGCATGGTATCTCAGTGAGCTAGCACTATAAATCGGCATCAGTCCGGACTAGTACAAGCAGCCACACAAACACACACACGTACATGCACGTCGCTATATAAGCGCAATAATCTTGGACGCGACGTTAAACCCCATTTCACCTCACCTCACTTACCCAATGTGAACAATGCTCAGGAGGGGTATTGGACACGAGTGGCCCAGTCGCCTGAGGCGTCGCATTTCTCTATGTCCCTTGGTCGTGTCAGGTTTGAGTAGCCATGGATGATACCAAAGGTGTAAACATCAAAAACCTGGATCACTCACTCACTCACTCATGTGGTATACATATGATAACATCTATATAAAAAAACATTAAAAAAACAACATAAAGATATTCATGTATTTAGTTTTTGTTTGTTCAGGATTATGGTAATGATTATTTCATTAGCGAATGTTATTATACTTCTTGTTAGCTATTTAGTATTGACTACGAACAAAAAAAGCATGTGAAATAACTGTACTTTTGTGATCTTTGTGATCTTTATCTTATTGGATATTGGACGTAGTGATATGACTTTATACACATACTTACATCCTGTATGTTTAGAATACTTTGACGTTTTGTTAATCACTGGATTGTCTGGTCTAGACTCGATTATTTACAGACCGCCTTTATATAGCTTTACCATTGCAGAGTACGGCTTTAAACAAACAAACAAACAAACAAACAAACAAACACGACATACTCGTAGCTGTGTGGAGCCACGGGGCTATTAACATGTATGTATTTACATCTGTGTTGTACTTGGACCTATCAACACGAAGGTGTATATATTCCTGAAATGGTGCTGTGGACATTCCCATTCAAATAGAATAAACATTTTACCTTTGAGTAATAAATATGTTTCATTAAATTCTATTATTATCATATTGCTGGCTTGTCCTTTTGTGTATCACATCACATTCCATGGTTGACTGCGACAGGGCAGATGAAGCCGTTCTTGCATCCTTCATTAAGATACAATATACCATTGGTGATCTCACGGCATGCCATGATATACCATAAATACTGCTCAATGAGGCGTTAAACCCAACTCACTCACTCGTCGTAAATAATATCATATTACACTGTAAAAGTCGTAGACTTATTAGTGAAAAGCGATGACCGTTCATTGTCACACACACACACACACACACACACACACACACACACACACACACACACACACACACACACACACACACACACACACACACACACACACATATATATATATTTATATATATGAACACTTCCATCATGATCAGACGTCACAATTGACCTCATCGTTAAATGTACCTCCGTGCATTCCGATATGTTTGCACTGTTGTGCAAGGGGTAGGGGGAGAATGTATGTACCACACATAGAAGTCCAGCGTACCATTTGTCTTTGTCCATATCTAAATAAAGCATATTGCACGTGCAAATGGGTACACATGTATACACATGTATTTTGCCTTTTAACAGGTTGTTTTTGTCTTTGAGTGAGTGATTTTACGCCGCAGTCAGCAATATTCCTGCCACATGTCTACAGTATCTTAGACCTTTAATTACAAATTAATCTGGAAATGAAACACTGGTTGATGTCATGAACAACATCCACGCCATCGATTTACAATCCCATATAATCCTTCAGATCACACGTTTTAACCTCATGGGGTTATCTGTTACAGTAAGAACCCGTGAAGATCCGGGGTGGAAGAGGTCCTTAGCAACCCATGCTTGCCGTAAGGGGCGACTATGCTTGTCGTGAGAGGCATCTGACGAGATCGGGTGGTCAGGCTCGCAGACTTTGTTGATACATGTTATCGTATCCCAATTGCGTGGATCGATGCTCATGATATCACTGGATTGTCTGGTCCAGACTGGATTATTTACAGACCGCCGTCAAATAGCTGGAATATTTTTGAGTGCGGCGTTAAACAACAACAAACATCAACAATATATTAGGGTAAGCATTGGTAGTCGGAACCTTTCTGTTCTGGAATACCTACATGGTAGAAAGTGTTGGAATATGACCGTTAACCTTATTGAGAACTTTACATTTTCATTCCTACTGAATCATATCGACCTGCCACTGGCAGTGAGTGATCACTTGGTACAAAGTACACACTTAAGTCGTTGATAAAATACACATAGATAAGATAGACTGACATGCACAGCGGATCCGCGCAGTATATGAATACTGTCCAGTGCGCTACATTTTTTTTTCTCGCTACATATTGTACTCCTCAGCTCACAGATTAGATCGCATTACGACATGCAACATAATGTCATTGATTATGCTGGTATACTTGTAACACGTATCTACTTGTTAAACTACACTTATAAATACATTTACCTATTGGGAATGAATTATTCTTCAATATATAGAACCACATTTGCTTCTTTATAGTAAGATAGGTGACAACAAATCAAAGTTCAAATAAGTATTGTTGAGCATATCATGCAGATGTCTACGTTATGTCAACCATTGAAACAAACTGTTTTATATTATTCCTAGACGGCGTCATACCAACCCTCCATCTTCCATAGGAGATTATTATTGGAACTTAAAGAAAGATAAAACTGATTGTTAGAAACGTTTGTACCTAAACAAAAAATAACTCAGAAAACATACATGTATAATATTACCTAACACACTGAACACACAGACACTGAATTGAAAAAGAAACTATAAAGACAGGTTTAGTCATGCACTGCTGGCAGCCTGCCAGACATGGAGTCAGGTCTGTATAATCTAACACTGTTTATGGCTGAAAGGCCAAGTCAGAATTATAAATAGATAGTTCAAACCTTGTGGACTTATATGGGTGTACAGTCCCTTGCACGTATCCTGCACATCTACGAGGCGACACTGGGTGTGCTGGTCGCGGTCCAATGTGTCCCCCGACATAGAGTCCTGGTGATATGCTTTCTCCGATACTGTACTGAATACCGCATATTGGCGTTTAAGAAGATGGAAAGAGTTCTCAGTCGCATTGTGACAATCGTCGCCTTGATATATACATGCGTCCACGGTAAGAAAATGTTTGTCAGTGTGAAATTGGGCAGTCATGAAACAGATGAATCACGTTTAAATTAACATTTTTCTTATGTTGAATGGTAAAACTATAGTTTTGACATTACCTTATGGCAATCAAACATGACGTATTTCATTAATATATATGATAGTGTTAATACTCACTCACTCACTCACTCATTAATATGAATTACTTAACAGTAGTTCTGTTATTCCACAGTAAACATCGGTTCTCATGTCGGCAAATGTGAAGATGGTTGCACCCCTCCATATGGGGGATTAACTTGTCAAGCCTGCCTACACGGTTGTTATGGAGACAGATGTACTGACCACTGCAGCCACTGTGACAGTGATGGGTGTGACAGAGATACAGGCAGGTGTTACAGGTGTAAACCAGGTTACCACGGTGACGGGTGTAACACTATATGTCCAGGCAACTGTCCTGCAGATTACAAGGGTGATGTTCACTGTAACAGAAGCTCAGGGAACTGCCTGGAAACTTGTAACAAGGGACATTTCGGGAGCACGTGTCAGAAACGCTGTCCACAACATTGCAAACACTCGTTGTGTGCCAAGACCAATGGGTATTGTCTGGTTGGATGTGCGCATGGATGGAGAGGGCCCTTCTGTAATGAGACGTGCTCGGCTAACTGCTTGCGAGGTATCTGCCACAGTGACGGCAAGTGCAAAGAGGGCTGCGAACCTGGTTACTATGGCCAGTTCTGTGACAAGAAGTGCTCTAACTGTTACACAACTTGATGTGACAGATTTTCAGGCAGATGTGATCAATGCTCACCTGGTTTCCATGGCGACAACTGCACCATGACATGTAGTCACTACTGCTACACAGAACGTGATGGCTACAGGCATTGTGCGCGTGCAGACGGAACCTGTGTGCAAGGATGCATAGATGGGAGACATGGACCTCATTGTGGTAGCAGTTGTAGTAGCAACTGTAAAAACTCAGTATGCTTTCCAAAAGATGGGTCTTGTGTCAACGGCTGTAGACACGGGTGGAAAGGATCATTCTGTAACGAAAAATGCTCGAAAAGTTGTCGAACAGGCGCCTGTTACACCGATGGAAAATGTAAATATGGTTGCGAACCAGGATTTTATGGCCTGTTTTGTGATAGGCAATGTCCGCATTGCCATACCACTGGATGTGACAGAACATCGGGCAGGTGCGAGGAATGCTCCCCAGGGCGATATGGCAATGGATGCAATCTGAAATGCAG